ATTTCATACTTTCCAGCAGGCCCAGGTACAACACGTCCAATATGTCTCGCAGGAGGCCCAGGCCGCTCATGTCCAATATGTCCCGCAGGAGGCCCAGGCCGCTCACTGGAGCAATAATACATACATTTGTCCGTGCAGGATTTCAAATGATCCCATATCCATGCAGTGTCAGCTGTCAACGCGCCCGTCACGTATTGCCGTCACTGCGTATCCAGCAGAAGAAACTAGCAAGAGCTCGTGCACGTGCACGCAGCCAGCAGGAGAAACTAGCAAGAGCTACCACCTCCCGCCAAGTACATACGGCTAGTGGAGATCATATGTACGCGAGTACGCGTACAAAGGGAGATGCAGAAAAAGATGCAGATAGAGATGCAGTGAGAGATGCAGAGGAGGATGCAGAGGAGGATTCAGAGGAAGAATCAGAGCAGGATTCAATCGTAGAGCGTGCCATAGAAGAGCACGAAAAAAAATCAGCACGAGACGCCGAGATTCAGCGGCGAGCTGTCAGGCGATATGCCCAGCACCTGGCCCATGCCCGCCAGCAACAGGTCCAGTTGTGCCCCATCACGGGCATACTGATTGGCCGGGAGGAGCAGCAGCGACAACTGGAGCTGGAGGAGCAGCGAGAGCTGGAGCAGGAGGAGCAGCAGCGACAACAGGAGCACGCCACATTTACACGCCACTCTCCACTTATGGAACAGCCCCAGGAAGAGGTAGTGAAGGAGTGCAGCGCACCATCAGGTCCGGCCACAACCTCGAGCCGATCGATGAAGATTCAAGGGAACCATCACCTGGCTAATGAGCCGATCGATGAAGATTCAAGGGAACCATCCCTGGCTAATGAGCCGATCGATGACCCGAACAGGCTTTGGTGCATTTGCCGACAGCCTCACAATAATCAATTCATGATATGTTAAAACTGCAAGTATGAAAAAAATTATGTTTAAAATATTTACAAAATATTCCAAAGGGGTAAAGTTTCCCAAAATGGAAATTCAAGATTCCATAATGCAAATGCTCTCAATGAGCTCTCATTTGGTTGAGGAGGGGATTATAGATCTCAGGAACAATTTACGGCTTTTTCAGAACAAAAAGTTTGTTATATATTTTGATGAGTACCATTTGTACCATTTTAGGTATATGAACAAAGTTTTGCACAAAGTTAAAATCATGGCAGTTGCCGCATTTAATTTGAAAGGAAAAAAATTCAAATATCTTTATTTGAAATTAGTTGCTTTAAAGAAAGGATCTAAATTGGGTTCTATCATAATAAATGAAGCCGTGCAAACTGTTTTAGAACAAATTGTTATTAATGAAATGGAAAGTAACTTAATGGCGATCATTTCAGACAAATGCCGTGCAAATTCCTTTGCAATTTCCACAGCTGGTACATATTTCCCAGTATTGGCAGATAAAGATCACTTAAAGAGAGTGCATATCAGGCACCCACTCAATGTAGACGTGGCGTTAGAGTTTGCACAGATATAAAAGAACGGATATCTAGATTAAATGAGCATTAATTGTCGGAAAAACTTAGAAAAAGTGCCATCGTTCAAGTAGATAATATAACAAAATTGTTAGAAAGGTATTTCGCCACTTCTAATAGAGACATAAATTTATCGAATTTAATCAGCGACAACTTTGAGCTGAAAGGAAAGACGATAAAAGAAAATGTTGCAAATATTATGGCATTTGCAGATTTGGATGATGTTAAAGCTCACCCAATACATTATCTAACCACCGTAGTGGGAAATGTAATAAACCTTTTAGAATGGAACGAACGTTCCGTAAAAAGGGAAATGCATATTAATGAATTGAATTAAAAATAAAAATCTTGTCTTTACGATATAAAAATCTTGTCTTTACGAGATAAAAATCTCGTTATTATGAGAAAAGCTGTCCGATCGACCTCATTTTCCTTATTTGGAAATGAAAGATCGCTGATGAGGAAGAGTGGTTTCTTCCGAAACAGTTTCATTATTATTATTATATAACGCATTTTTTAATAATTGTTAATTGTAATCATATATGTATTTATTAAATTTAAGGAAGAAAAATAAATTTTTAAAAGAAAATCCAAAGTCCGTCTTTAAGGAAGAAAAATAAATTTTTAAAAGAAAATCAAAAGTCCGTCAACCATCTGTCCTTATAGATATATATTTAAATTTGATGCTGCTGCTCCACCAGTGTATTGAACTTCATCGTCGCGACCCTCGTACCTGAAATGAGAGCGGGGATGTGTGTGCATGACACCCATCTTTTGGGTTGTGGACAACTACACCCACTGCCTGGGACCGGTATTTAGTGGTAGATTTGCAGTACTGCCAACCATTATGCTCATGATGAATTCCACTTTCAGTTCTTTGTGACCGCTGCCGTCGTCAGCATTGCCTATTGGATTGGTTTCCCCTTTTGGTTGGCTATGGAGCTTCACTGGAGAGAGCCCAATGGAGAGAGCGATAAAGGTAAATTTATGACTACCATTGCCGAGTTTTTTTACTTGAGCGAGTTTCTAATTGTTATTTTAGAACCTTGCGATCTATCGTCATCCTTACATATTAAAATATGTGACCACATGGGACCAGTCCGGACAAAAGCATCTTGCCACGGAGAGAGTCAGGCCACTTAACGACGTGCTGGCACTAACCACATATAGATGTGCCAGTTCATACAACAAAAGGGGCGCAAGCTGGGTGTTCTGCCCGGCTCCCAGCGCTTTGGCTCTGTGAGGCTGAGAACTCGGGTCGGGAGCTGGGCCGTTCGGCATGTATGACTCATGTCGGGAAGCGAAAGCAAGCTGAGAATTGCAAATGTATGTGTGTAAACAGACACGACAAAATTTTGTATCAATTCTTATTTTCCGAAAACGTTTTGAGTTTGTTTTGAGTTTCGTTTACAGGTTACGTAAATGTGTGTGTGCCATGTATTCAACACACTATGCTTGTGTGTGGGCTCTACAATTGTTGGCCGCTTGAATTGGTTTTTCGTTTTGTTTTGAGGGCTGATGTGATGTAGCGACCTTATTGCCGGAGCCTTCAACCAGCTTACGACCATCAATCTGGGCCCTCCTTTATTTTGTATTTTTCTCAGTGGCTATTATATTTTTTTATTTCATTATTTGGAGTTTTGTTTTTTCAACAAAATTTTTCTTTATCCTCCTAGGCAACTCTATCCGGCCTGGACCTATTCCCGTCGTAAGACTTAATATTTTCTTGGTGTGTTCTGTCGCTCGACTCGACGCGGGCCGGGTCGAGTCATTGACGAAGCCGAAAGCAGAGGCAAAGGCTAGCCTAAAAGAGAACCGCGCGCCCGTCGCAACATCAGCTTTTCAAAACAAAACGAAAAAATATTTTATGAACCGCTTCGTCAATGCCTCAACCCGCGTCGAGTCGAGCGACAGAATACACCAAGAAAATATGAAGTCTTACCGGGAAGTAGGTCAGCCGGATTAGCAGTTGCTGGGCCCCCGGGTAACAGAAAAATTTTGTTGAAAAAACAAAACTCCAAATAATGAATACAAAATATAATGGCCACTGAGAAAAATACAAAATAAAGGAGGGCCCCACATTGATGGTTGCGTCAGGGCGTGCAGGATCCGACCCTGAATAGGTCGAGTTTGGTTTTAAAGTTGTTAGAGGACACAAATACAGGCATAGTTACACACGCCACACGGTTTATATTCGACACAGCTGCAAAGGTGGTCTCTCTCGGCTCAAGCCGGAGGCCGGGCCCTCAAAGCTATCGCTCCCGACCGAAGGCCTGGGAGCCAATCGTCCAAAAATTTTATGCAGGCAGTTTTTAGTCGATTTGACGCCTCTATGTGTTGTTTGCTTAGTGGTGATACTATCAAACAAAAATACCGAAAATACCAAACTATATCATCAGTATATTGTCGTTATATTTCTGAGGTCGGGTAGGGATAACTAGTGGTGACACCTGTTCAATTTTAACCACACATTTTTCTTCAGTGGTGACACCTGTTCAATTTTAACCACACATTATGTGGAGGAGACTGGAGACTCTGGAGACAGATCTGAAAGTCAGAAAGTCAAGCAAGAGGCCGGAGGAGTGTAACATATAACGGTGAGAGGGGCTGTTCAAATAACTGAGCGGGGTACGCGATGGCTTCCGGCTTTTCTCTGGTCGGCTGGGGTGGGTTTTGAGGAAGAGGCCGTCAGTTATTGTTCTCACTTGGTGCAAATAAACAAGAAAATAAATTCGCGTACGAAAGGAGGGGAACGGGAAAGGAAGACTACAGTACAGCAAACCAACACTAACGGAAGAGATACATCAAAGATAAGGGGGGATAGCGGTCAGGCGATGCTCGATCTTGGGCTGCATGTGCTCAGCGGCACGGACGCCCACCCTACCATGATCCCCTATAAGCCAGCTGGTCGCCAGGGATCCCTCCCAAAATCGTACAGGCATCAGGCTGCGGCATTCGGGACAGGCATGGGTCCAACAAAAAAGGGATTTAATTCATTTTACTAATGCTATTTGTATTAACTAAATTAACTTTCACCATGGTACTTCAGGTTCTACCCATGTAGTTATCTAGACATATCTATTCTTCAAAATAGTACAGCTGTCGAAAATTCACTAACGTGCGGGAGAGTAATAGGGGAGCAACCTCAACTTAGATCTAGTAATACCTATAGGAAATTAATTAAAAATAATAAACCCAATAATGAATATGCAATACGATCTAACAATAATATATAATATAATGTAATGTAGTAATAGTAATATAGTAAATATTCAACTTAAATCAGGCTAACATCAGAGGGAAAAGAATTGTGTGCAAGTACGGGGTACCACAGGTGTCTTCATGCCCATTCTCACTGCCAAAAATAATCCACAACCTTTTTATTGCGGTTTCCTTTTAATGCCCGTGTGGATCGTATGTTCAATATTCTCGCTCTCGCGCTCATGACACTCACTCTCACCCGCACAAGCCAACTTTCTTGGGCCAGGCAAAGTTATAGCGAATTCTCACTTACATGATCATATGTACATATGTTACCGGGTCCAGCGCCGAAAGATCTTTCGTCGAGACTTGGTTCCACCTGTAGCTGAGAAAGAAAAACGAAAAAAAACGAGAGAGAGAGAGAGCGAACTGAGCTTTCAGGGAGCTTTTGGGGAGCTTAGCCCTCTGCTGCCGTCGGAGCCACTACACTGGGAGGTTATGATTTTACTGGGATTTTTAATTCACTTTGTTACCTCACTTCGCACATTTTTCTTTTCGCCCCGTTACATATTATCCACTGGGAATCTCTTTTATACTAATATAAACTATACCAGGGTAAACTTCCTAACCAAGGCTCTCTTTTTCGACTTTGCTCTGCCCACTCTCACTAACACACGCACAGACACCGAAAAATCAATTTTGGGTTATGGTTCCCATTAGTTGGCCGAATCACTCATTCCGCGGTAGAGAAAGTATATTCCGATGAGTTTGGCGCACTTCCGGTAACTTCCGGTGACTTCCGCTCCCTTTAGCGATCGAGGGTGTCACACCGTGATCCCGGCGGGAGCAGCAGCGTTGCGGCCGATTAGAGTCTGTCTTGCTTACTGCAGCTTTGCGCTCAGCTCTCGTGCGGTTGCACTTGATGTACTCAGTTTAGAGCTTTCTCCTCTAGCTATGTAGCAGCCTATAGCCTAGGTGCCATTCTGCGGTAATTAAGATAAAACAGAAGAGCACAAAGCCGAAAGACATATAAGCGGGGGGAATCGGATATAACCCTAACTACGAAACTGGTGCAATAATTACCCTTTTCCCGGTATGGCACCTTGCATAGATTTATTTTGTGTAGTTGAAAAGATCGTGGCTGCTGTCTGGCTCCAAAAGCCTTTGCTGATCAGATAGTGGTATTGACAAAAATGACTTAACGATTCGATCGTCAGAAGAGAAAGAAAGAGTTTTGCCCCGGAAACTACTTAGGAGGCCCTGTCAAGGCTTCCCCTTTAAATAAATATATATTTAAAAGCTTATAGCTGCGTTTCCCCTTGCCCAGTAGAACTGTTATACTATTACGATGCACGAACAGTGCCTACTTTTAGGATGCATCACCACTCGACAAACGACCCATTACACACCCCCCTGCCAAAATCACACTTAGGGGTTCAATACTCCCAAGGGTGATACTCGTTTGGAGAGTTAATTCTATCTATCATTGTTTTATGTCTTTAGCATGGTACTTTCCGACTAATTTACCCTGAAGATCCTCCAATTCATAATAACTATGTCCTAACCTTGTCCTTACTCTTGCCTTTACAAACGTCGGGGCGAGTTTTGCATTAAACCCCTTTGCAAAGTTGCTTTGTTGATGGTTTCGCCGAAATACCTCCTGCCCTGGTTGAAACGATACCTCGCGACTTCGCAGATTATACGTGTTTTCATTCCTACGCTGTTGCTTCAGCATGGTTTGTTTTCCCTTTTTGCGAATGAGGTCGAATGAGTCTCCCCTATCAAATGCAAAAGACTGATCCTCTAAAACTCCTAGGTTTCGTAGCAATGGATAGGCAGAGCCACTCGTAATCATATTCTGACCGAAAGCCACCCGATACGGACTACTGTTTATGGCTGCATGCACGCTTGATCGCAATGCACATGCTATCGAACTCATCTGTTCATCCCAATTACTTTGGTCGGGTTTGATATAAGCCTTTATTGCTGCGATCACCGATCTATTGACCCTTTGCGAGGCATTTGCTTGGGGAGCGTATACCGCGGTGTATGAATGTTTAATGCCGTATTTCTGCAATAGTTCATTAAACCGGTGCGACTTAAATTGCACACCATTATCAGACACCATAACCTCCGGCACGCCAAAACAATGGAATAGTTCTTCCTCTATAAATGGAGTAATGGCCTCAGCCGTAAATTTCTTCACCGTTTTCAAAAACGGAAATTTAGAAAAATGATCCAACACCACGAAGATGCCGATGTTTCCGGACTTGCTGCGGGGGTACGGCCCTAAAAAGTCCACATAAAGCTTCTGGAATTTCCCCATTGGCGGTCTCAACGTGTAGTTTGGATGCTTGCTACCTTTACAAATGTCACAGCTGCCTATAAACTCTTTCACATCCGTCACTAGGTTTGGCCAATAATAATAACGGCGAATTCGCTCTAGGGTCTTGTTTATCCCACCATGCGCTGCTAACGGGTGTTCATGAGCCTCCTTCAAGACCTCCTGTACTAATCCATTAGGGATCCAAAGTTTCCAACATAGATCGTCGGCAATTTTTTCTCCCGTGGCATGTTCAGATCGCCGATATATCAGATTGTCGACTATTTTCACGTCTGGCAATCGATCTTGGTTAGCCCGAACCTTAAACATCATCTCTTGATAGTCAGCTGATTGAAATTGAGGGGATCGTAAATCAATTAAGCTATCGAATTGAATGGCTGAGAGATCTTCGGTGAAAACCCTGGAGAGGGCGTCCGGAACAATGTTCTGCGATCCCTTTCGATGGAATATTTTAAAGGAAACCCCTTGAAGCTTCAGCGCCCATCTTGCTAACCTGGAGCTTAGATCTGCTTGGGACATAAGCCACTTCAAGGAAGCATGGTCCGTGATTATGGTAAACTCCTGCCCTTCTATGTATGGCCTAAATTTTTTCACACACATCACGGCTGCCAGACATTCTTTTTCCGTTACGGAATAGTTACATCTTGGCCTTCAGCAACTCAAATGCTTTCTGCGCCTCTTCGGTCCACTTGAACTTTAGCTTTTGCTTGAGCGTCCTAGTCCTTGATGAACTTATGATACCACCCTGTGAGACCTAAAAAACGTCGAACCTGTTTCAGTGACCGAGGGATAGGAAATTCTTTTATCGATTCTACTTTTTCAGGATCCGTCCGAATAGTGCCATGACCAATGACATGGCCAAGATATTTGACTTGCTTCAGGCAGAAATGTGATTTCTGGACATTTATGGTCAAACCCGCTTGCTGTAAACGCCCCGCTACCTCGGTGAGGACATTCACGTGTTTATCAAACGAGTCGGAAATGACTAACAAATCATCGAGGTACACAAATATCTCGTTCCGCAGCCCTGAAGGAATAACCTTATCCATAAGCTTGCACATTGTTTGTGGAGCATTAGATAGGCCAAACGGCATGACTGTGAACTGATATAGGGGTCGTCCTGGTACAGTAAATGCAGTTTTGTCGCGTGACCTTTCTTCAAGAGGGATCTGCCAATACGCGTCTTTCAAATCAATGCTTGAAATAAATTCCGCTCGCGGCAGCCGACTGAGAATCCCGTCAATAAGAGGCATTGGGTAGGCGTTTTTATACCCGTACTCAAAAAAGAGTTAAGGGGTATATTAGATTTGTGGTAAAAGTGGATGTGTGTAACGCAGAGAAGGAAACGTTTCCGACCCCATAAAGTATATATATTCTTGATCAGCATCAATAGCCGAGTCGATATAGCCATGTCTGTCTGTCCGTCTGTCCGTCTGTCTGTCTTGTTGAGCGCCTAGATCTCAGAGACTATAAGAGCTAGGGCAACCAAATTTGGTGTATTTCAAAATTTCGCCCCGCCCCCTTCCGCCCACACAAAAAACGAAAATCTGTGGCAGGCACATTTTTAAAGGTACGATAAAACTAAAAACGCAGTATCGTAGAGAATGACCATATCTACCAGACTGCCGAATCTGAATCAGATCGGATCATAATTATAGCCAGAATGAAGAAATTCATTTTCAGTTGCTTCCCCTCCTCCTCCCGCCAACGACAACGCAACTCATTTTCCTTCTCGCTCGCACACGCTGCCGCGTTCAGTGCGCGAGCAACCCCTAGCGGAGGAGATGTAGAATAGACATTGTAGATGAGATGTAGATAGCAGATGTAGCAAAAAAATGTAAAATGTAATTTTTATTTTTTTTTATCTAAAATTCTAAAAAATTATAAGCTCAATAATGTATATACTGACTGAGTACGGGTATAAGTAGAGTCGTGTCCCCAGAAACGACTCACACGTTCCTTCTCGTTAATAGTCACTTCATTAATCTTCATACTATCGATGCATAGCCGCACATTGCCTGGTTTACGTACCATAACGACCGGCGATGACCAAGGGCTATTCGACTCTTCTATCACTCCCAGCGACAACATTCTATCAAGTTCGGTATACATGAGCTGTTCGACCGCTGGAGAGACGGCATAGTGCCTTTGCTTGATGGGTTTAGCATCTCCCACATCGATATCATGCTGTAGCAGGGTCGTTTTCCCTAGGCCTCTCTCTGCAAATGAGGGAAACAATTTAATCGTTTCCACTAACTGGGCCTTCTGTTGTACTGACAGGGGCAACTGATTCGGATCATCCAGCAACACGCCTGAGATGGTCGCCCCCAGAGCTTTATTAGACAAAAAGGCAGGCAGCAAGTTAAACTTCGTCCAGAAATCGATCCCTAAATACAAATCTTGCGACAAAGACGGCACAATCCACAAGCGAAATGTCTGGGACTCTCCCCTAAACTGAATAGTAGTATTAAGTCGACCAATAATTGGTTGCTGCTTGCCATCTGCTGTACTAACCGACGCTTTAATAGGCCTGTAGCCCGAACTTTCCTTTTGCATTTCGGACGCCAGAGTTCCTCCTATACAGCTGATCGAGGCACCCGTATCCATTAGGCCTGTTACGGTTTTGCCTAATAAATACACTTCTGCGTACGGTCGCCAATCCTTGGAATCGTTGACTATTGATGCGAGCACATTTCGCTTTTCTGCCTTGTGTTTTTGCCGATATTGTAGTCGACGCTGTCTCGACCTACTGACTATTGATTTCTGACTCAACTTAGTTTGCCTCTGAGACCGGATGGGTAATGGAAATTCTGGTAATTCTGACAACTCCGGTAATTGAGATAAATCTAGTAACTTTGACAAATCTGGTAGTTTGGAACTAGTCGGTTCCACTAGGGGTCGGTGTTCGACCCCTTTAGGTTTTTTGATGCATTACATCGGTTACACGATGGCTTGTACGTATTTGGTCGCCCACAGCCGTAACAAAAGACCTTGCGTTCTGCTACACACTCCTGGTAACGATGACCATGCACTCCACAGTTCCAACAAAGGAGAGACACTGCAGCCATCTCTAGGTCCTCAGACATTTCATCTGGGCCCCCCGGCGGCCCGAGGGACGGCGCGGGCGTAACGTACGCGACCACACCGTTCGCGAGTGCGAACTACATGCCGTAGCTGAGCCACCGACATGATCGACACATGCAAAATTTCGTGCTGAATATCAGCGGCAAAATTGGCTCTCAGGATTTCCAGCAAGGCTGGTTCCGTCAGAGGTTGCACGAGTTTGTCTGCAATTGAGATGATGGCTTCATAGAAAGCATCAAAGTTCTCATTCCCTTTCTGTTTTCGCTGCGATAACGCTGAGCGAATCTCCAGATCGGTTCTGCCGTCTTTAAACTGCGCTCTCAGTGCGGCACTTAGTTGAGGCCAATTTACTATTGCGACACTTTTATGATACCGCCAGAACCACTCACTAGCGCTACCTTCAAACAAATTGCTAGCATACCGAGCAAGCAATTCCAAGTTCCCATCTAACGTCTGTCTAGTAAGAGCCTCCACTCGGTACACAAAATCATCCACTCCCATCGACGAGTATCCAGAATAACGCAGTTTCCAATTGGAAATTATTTGATTTATTCTGTCTGGTCTCAGCTCCGCTGTACCTTGGGATCCCCACGGGGAACGGCCTTCAGGGACGCCATTGTTCAACGGCCCTACTGATTCTCTCGGTGGTATTTGAAACAGTTGTTCAAATGTCTGGGGTGTAGCCTCCCCTTGCGTTCCCATTTCCGCGTGTGGCCTTGGGGTCGTATTCTGAATGGCTAATCTTTGGAACCCCACTTCGATCGAGTGTGTCATCTGCGCCATGGCTTGTGTCATTTGCGCGATCTGTGACATGGCTTTGGTCAGAGATTGGGTCATTTGCGCCAAGCCATCAGTCATAACATTGCCCTGCCTATTCTCGGCATTGCCATTTGGGGGGTCTACTGCCTGAGCAACCGGTTGCTGCTCTGTACCTTCAGATACAGGAATACCTTGAGATCTTGTTCTAGTCATGTTGCGCGTTTCTGACTGGGAACTAGAATTCTGCGCCGCAGCGAGTTCGTCTGCTAAATTAGGAGCTGGAGTCCCCAAATACGCAAAACAGACTGGACAGACTGTTTTTTCTCCTTCTCGACTTAGCAAACACCCAATATGAAATATGTGCTTACACCTAGTCTGGACACACTGCGTTGGGTCTTCAATTTCTATCACACAAATCCCACAGTTTAAACTAATATCTAATCTTTGTTCACTTTGTGACCCGCTTTGGGCGTGGAACATGTTCCTTTCACTCTCAGTTTTCTATCAAATAACTATTTTATTTCACTCTACCATAAATCCGAAAAGTAATTAATGCGTTTTCTTAATCTTTGATATTCTATTTGTATTTAAATTGGTAATAATTTGCTTGATCTAAAACCAAAAACTTTAATTAAAAAGATATGTATGACAATAATAATAGTTGGACCCTCACCTAAACCTTCATGCTCACAGTTTATTTTACCCATAGCATCGAACATACAAAAGAGGACGATTCACATTAAAGAAACCTCCTCAATACCAGCCGGGAGTAAAAGGGTCCTGTACCATAGTTGTATACCACGGCAGGAATTCCGCAAACACACGCCGATCTCCATTGAGGAGAGAATACCAAATTACTCGAAACCGTCAAGGGTCAATTTTTCGATAATCCGCCCACAAATAATAATATAGGGTTTTGAACGCTCATTTGACGGAGGAAACCCTCACACAAAACACAAAGGAAACTCTGCAATGTTCAACCCATAGGTCAGTTCCGATATGCAGGTCACCTCACCGTTTCGTATAGGAGTGGGAAAAATTAAAAACGAGAAAAAAGTTCCGGGAAACATATAGATGATTCAGACTTAAGACAAAGCAGTTGGTTGCTGTACGGAAGTGGTTCTCGAATTAATTAGTTAGCGGTAAGGCTATCAATGTGACTGATAATATTTCCTTATTCCAGCCAAACTGCATAGTTCGAACGGGACATGCTTCTTTAGGGACATTATATGCTCGCATTCGCTCTCGCGCTCATGACACTCACTCTCACCCGCACAAGCCAACTTTCTTGGGCCAGGCAAAGTTATAGCGAATTCTCACTTACATGATCATATGTACATATGTTACCGGGTCCAGCGCCGAAAGATCTTTCGTCGAGACTTAGGTTCCACCTGTAGCTGAGAAAGAAAAACGAAAAAAAAACGAGAGAGAGAGAGAGAGAGAGAACTGAGCTTTCAGGGAGCTTTTGGGGAGCTTAGCCCTCTGCTGCCGTCGGAGCCACTACACTGGGAGGTTATGATTTTACTGGGATTTTTAATTCACTTTGTTACCTCACTATTATCCACTGGGAATCTCTTTTATACTAATAAAAACTATACCAGGGTAAACTTCCTAACCAAGGCTCTCTTTTTCGACTTTGCTCTGCCCACTCTCACTAACACACGCACAGACACCGAAAAATCAATTTTGGGTTATGGTTCCCATTAACTTCCGGTGACTTCCGCTCCCTTTAGCGATCGAAGGTGTCACACCGTGATCCCGGCGGGAGCAGCAGCGTTGCGGCCGATTAGAGTCTGTCTTGCTTACTGCAGCTTTGCGCTCAGCTCTCGTGCGGTTGCACTTGATGTACTCAGTTTAGAGCTTTCTCCTCTAGCTATGTAGCAGCCTATAGCCTAGGTGCCATTCTGCGGTAATTAAGATAAAACAGAAGAGCACAAAGCCAAAAGACATATAAGCGGGGGGAATCGGATATAACCCTAACTACGAAACTGGTGCAATAATTACCCTTTTCCCGGTATGGCACCTTGCATAGATTTATTTTGTGTAGTTGAAAAGATCGTGGCTGCTGTCTGGCTCCAAAAGCCTTTGCTGATCAGATAGTGGTATTGACAAAAATGACTTAACGATTGGATCGTCAAAAGAGAAAGAAAGAGTTTTGCCCCGGAAACTACTTAGGAGGCCCTGTCAAGGCTTCTTTGCTTTCAGGGCGTTGTGCCGGCCTATCAGTTCTTCCCTTTTTTATGGTTTTCATTTTTGAATACCCTTAATGCTTGGTCGAAACTTTGCCGTTCGGGCCATCTTCGGTCATTGCCCTCGCTCAGCAGCATTCGAGCGCAGTAAGCTTTAAATAAATATATATTTAAAAGCTTATAGCTGCGTTTCCCCTTGCCCAGTAGAACTGTTATAATATTGCGATGCACGAACAGTGCCTACTTTTAGGATGCATCACCACTCGACAAACGACCCATTACAGGAGGCACGCCTCACAAGTGGTTCTATATGGAAAAAAATAAAAGAGCACATACCGATGCTTTCAAGCAGCTGACCACCGCACATTCTTCTGGCGAAGGTTTCAGTTGATTGCAGAAATATTGAATACGCTTTCATGATCTTACTCTCACCTTCCGTGTCCTTTGCTGGAATTCCCACTCGCTTTGGACGATGGAATGGCCTTCTTTCGATTCGAAATGCCTTACGATTCGAAAGGCAGGTCTTAATATAAGTTATGTTATAAGTATAGTCTTAATCAGTGTACTTATACTTATACGTATACTTGATGTTTGAGCATTCTAAAGTCTTAATCATTGTACTCACGCCTTTGCTAGCTCTTCGATTACGGGCAACAGCTCCTTGGGATGCGCCTTACGCTTATGCGAGCGACAATTCGGAGAAGTCCTTGTCGCAGAAATTACACTTGTACGGCCGTATGCCGGTGTGCAGGATGAGATGGGACTTCAATGTTTTGGTACGCTTGAATTCCGCACCGCAGAGCTCACACTTGTATTGCCGCTTGTCGGAGTGGACTATTTTGTGCTTGTTGAAGGTTCGTCGCTCTTGAGCTTCAGTCCGCAGATGTTGCACTCGTAGATGGTGGCACTGTGCGTGTCGGCATGCACCTGGAAGTGGATTCAAAGATTAGTGTTGCTCGGAGATGGCTCCATGGATCTACTCTACCCTGAGTCTGGCCTTGTTCTCGGTGGCAGATGGGCATTCGAAGGGACACTCGTCGGTGTGGACCAGCTTGTGATCATTGAGAGCGGCGAGAAAATTGAAGCTCTTTGCACAGATGTAGGGCTTCATCTGCTTCCATGTGGCGCTTGAGGGTTCCCCGGCGTGGTGAAGAGCTTCGCACAGTGCGGGCAGGAGTTGTCCGCCTTGTTTTTGGCCGGCAAGTGACTGCGCTGGTGGGTCTGCAGCTGAGGCACTGTGGGAAAGCTGGCCCCGCATTGGTGGCAGTCGAGATTTGGCAAGTCGTTGGGCATGACATTATGCACTTCCAGCATGTGTCTCTTGTATGCATTCGGCTTTTTGTAGGGTTTGCGGCAGATTTCACATTTGTATGAATATATGGTAGGTTTCTCGTCCTGGGAGTTTGGCACAGGGTCATCCTCAACATCGGATTCTGAGCTTTTGGCAAGCTCTCCTCTGACGGCTCTCTTCATATGGTTTCACATCATTATATTCCTCGTTTTCGCTCTCTTCTATTATGCTATCCTCGTAGCACTCTTCTATCCTCTGCCTCAACATTCTCATATTCTGCTTCCACTTCCTGCTTTTGCTCTTCCTGTATTTTCACTTGCACATGGAAGTCCTGTGGCGTTACGCTCTCGACATGACGTGCTTCCACTCGTAAGTAGAACACAATCCGTATGGAGCTCTTCATAGTCCACAGACCCTACATCCGGGCTTAGGTTCTGCAATCTAAAGAAGAGCGTCTGGACGCGTCGCACCCGCTCCGAGAACTACGACTACTACTAGCTATTTTTATTACATTTTAATGCACTTATTAGGAATATTCTTAGAACAGAAAACTCTGTAAAACAAAACCAATACATTTTTTCTTTATATTCATATTCTTATACTACTCCTTTCGTGTTTGCACGAAATGCTATTTACTCTGCATCTAACGTGCCGAAATATTTCTCGTATTTCTCGTACGGACGCTTGTCGACAAGCTGAAGGTGTTCCTCCACGTATACGCGAAAACATTTCATTTCAATATAGTTCTCGAATATCCGTTTCGTCTCCGCTTTCGTAGTCCATGATATTAGCCTGGGCGCGGACCGACGTGCGGCGCGTATTGAGAGGCAGGGGAACACTCTCAGTGGACAGACTTTTGCTTGTAGACGCGACTGGCTCCTTATTTTTGACAGCAGCAGAGCTTCCATTGGCCCGGTGGGGATCATCTAATCGGATAACCTTGGATAGCGGGACAAGGTCATGTGGGTCGTCATCATCTTGAAAAAGGGGGATAAATTTACAAAAACACCTTGCATTGTAAAATGTACTTACCAGTCAAATCGCTGCTGGAGCTGGAGACGGCCTTTCTTTTCGTTTGTTTCTTCTTAAGCTTCGCCAACTCTTCTTCCAGAATGTTTGGATTCTGCCTTAAAAATCGGCGCAACTTCTTTTTGTATCTATGGAAGGAAAGTAAGAATAATTATTACATTGCACTGTAAACTTAACTTAACTTGACTTACATAGCTTGGCCTTTGGCGGCCGCTTCTATGTACGGAACCTTGCACTCTTTCGAAAGCTGATGCCATTTATCATAAATGAATTTTTCGCGGTGAATTTTCGAAAGTTGCAGCCAGGTTTGCAGGCAGTCGCGTTTCAGTTCCTTCCGTCTTTCGTTTGTGAACCGCACATAGGCTTTCAATGGTGGTTTAGGGGCTCCTGGGGCAAAGATGCGGCGTTTGAGTTTCTTTATTTTTTGATCTAAAAATAAAATGAAAAATAAAATATTGTTCTAATAATGTTCGGTTCGTACTTACTTAGAACGTCGTCGCTGTCGGAACTTGAGCTCAATTCCGATTGGGATGATTCAATTCGCTCAGGCGAGTCGTGTACGTCATGGACGCTCTGAAGATGCATCTTCAGATTCACTTTCTTAGCGCTCTTATATGGACAGAGCGGGCATTCGAAATCTGTTGTCTTTGGTCCAAATGCACAGCTATACTGTTTATGTCTTAGTAAGGAATTTTTAATCATTTTTTTCTTGCATTGTTCGCATCTTACGAATCCTAATTCTAGTTCGCTCTAGAAAATATAAATAAGTGAAAATATAAAATATACTTACATATACTTTAATTTACTTACATCGCTGGAAGAACTGCAACTTGAAAAACTGGACGCATGACCATGCACTTCAACCCATCTTGTGAATGTTACGGGCAGGTCTTTGTTCCATGGCCTTTCGTCCCATGGAGGTAGGCTGGAGGTTGTTGGATGGTCTTCATCGCTTGAAGAAGATGATTTGATGATTAAAAGGAAAGTGGCAAAAAGTTAACAAAACTCTAAACAAAAACCGGCGCCGGCTTGCAGAAAAATGAGTGTGACCAGATAGGCAGATGAGATGATGCCAACTCGGTGGAAAAAGGATGGACGCAAAGTGCTCAAAATGAGCCATTTAAAAATGGCTGACTTTGATGATTTAATTTAATTTTTAAATTTACCTTAAAGTTTGTTCGCTCTAGAAAATATAAACAAATGAAAATAAAATGATATGTAATCCAACAATATATGATATGTAGCTTGGCAGGTCAATTTAAAAATAAAATATATATATTTATTTTGTGCTCAATAATTGAGCCGCGACGCTCATTTAGCTCATCTGAACGGCGTCGACGGCGGCCGGGGTCTTTTAGATTTTTGGCGGGCGTTATTGAACAAACACGTGGCTTCAACTCAAGCAGTTCAACAGAAGGTTTTTCTCATTTTCCTTTTTTTTCGTTTTCTCACCGAAATCTCAACGTAAGTATTACCATAGGAGCGAAGACTGAGCGACACCCGCGCCGAGAGGGGGCGACGGTATGTGGCAACATCCGGTATGCAGCCAAAAAAAACAATATTATTATGCCCGGGGGGGGGGATTACCATATATATAATATATATATTATATATATATATTATATTTCATATTTTCCTTTCCAGATGTCCCTTCACCAAAATTTTCATTTTGGCGGCGCTGGCGGTGGCCGTGGCCGAGGAGGTTGCGGTGGCCGTGGAGGTAGCGGTGGCCGCACAAACACCCTCAGGTAAAGGCAGGAACGCAGGCAACAGATCTGCGACAGAGCCTTCGCGATGATGATGGCCGCCCACCGTGGCGAAACGGGCGGCATGGCAGCCGACGGGCGCGCCTTGCTGGAGCGCCTGAGGCAGCATAATGTGCTGCCATACGTTTCGGTGGCCCAGGCACCACACGTCCAATATGTCTCGCAGCAGGCCCAGGCACCACACGTCCAATATGTCTCGCAGGAGGCCCAGGCCGCTCATGTCCAATATGTCTCGCAGGAGGCCCAGGCACCACACGTCCAATATGTCTCGCAGGAGGCCCAGGCCGCTCACTGGAGCAATAATACATACATTTGTCCAATGGACCAATAATGATAATAATAATAATAATACATTGTTATAAAATATATATATAATAAATACATAATATAAATATTTTTGTGTTTGACAAATACGGCGTATCGCAGCCACAAAGCGAGCAGAAGACAACGAAAAAGGGAGCAGGACTGCCCAAGGAGCCGAAGGGCTCGCGCAGGAACCTGGATGTGCTGTCGAAGATTCGCTTCTCCTACGAGGCTTATCCCCTCAGCTCCATATACTCCTCGCGGCAGGTGCTGCTCGTCTCGGAGATCGAGATACGCGACCGCCTGCGCTCCTCGGACATCAACAAGTTCCTGTATCATCCGAACATCAGCAACATATCCCGCCGGCTCGACGAGAACATGGTCATTGTGAAGGCCCTGAATGTGCGGCCCAATCCACAGAAGAGCACCGCCGAGGAGTGCTCCCTGCGCGTGTCCATTCTGCCCATCAAACTGAACATTGATCAGGATACGCTGCTCTTTCTGGAGGACTTCTTTTCGGCGCTGCTCAAGAACTCCTCCAGTGCCAGTGCCCCAGCGAATGCCAAAATGGAGGTCAACTCTGCCTCCGACATGCCCTGCAGGATTTGGAGGCGAGGGAGATTGTGGAGAGGAATCTCGATGTGCTCATCGACGAGGGCAAGGACAACACGGCCGAGCTGGAGGATGATCCCCTGGGTGGAGAGTCGGCGCCCGTCTACTTCCGGGAGGTGATCTTCAGCCCCGCACTGCCCATCTGCTTCGACTACCATGGCCGTAGGATTGAGCTCTCATTATGGGCCTGGCGCAGCTACAAGGATAGGGCATCTGTCTGCGGGAGCTCGTCAACCGTCGCGGCATCCTGGGCTGGAACAAGCTCTGCGAATTCCTCTGCAAGGAGTGGCTGAAGGACATCAAACGCAATCAGCTCACGAACATTCTGATTCTAACGATAATCCAGGCGCAGTTGTTGTTGCTGACAGATGCCAGGATTTCCACCGAACAGATAGTGGTTGTTGGCCAAACATCCATATGCTGTATGTCACGGCGATCCTTAACCTTACTCAGACTCTAGAAATGTATTTTCTAGTTAAATGTTTACTCATTGTTCGATTTCAGACTTACGGAGAATACATAGATTTCGTCGCGTTCACAATCAATCGTAGCCCACAGTGTGATATCCATTGCAGCCTCCATACAAATATAATGAGGCGTTTTTTGGCATCATCCACCAACTGATGGCCACCACGATTGCCTGCAAACGAATGTAAATATATATATGTATATACATGTAAATACTGACCAGGTTTGCCTCGCTTTCAGTGTGTTTCATATGCCAGCTTGTACAAATACTCGTCCATGAGACCCTCATCAATGCACTCGGCCTTCTCAAAGTCCCCTTGCACCACCTTTGAAGCGGAATCAGAGGAATTAAAATGTAAAAGCACAGAAATAACAGAGTCGTTACCAGGTATTTGTGCAATTCACTGATAAGCGGGTGCTCGAGTTTTACATTTGTTTGCTCCTGAAGGCAGGGCAGTCATGTAGCCCTGCTGACGAAAGTGTATTATAATTCTTCATTCGCGCACACGTATACATGGGATCGTCTTGGCCGTGGAGTTCGATGTACCATATACTATACGATGGACCCCGATATGTTCTCCGAGCCGTCTTCGGTCATGCAGCGCAGGTTGAATACTTCTGGTATATTGTCGTTCTTGAGTCCTCTGGGGGCGGGGGCGGCGGTACGCCCTCGGTAGATGGCGCAGCCGGTCCAGGCTCGGGAGACTCTGCGTCGAGCGGAGGTGGCGGTCCCAACGGAGTGTACCATCAGGGCGGTGGTAGCGCAAGAAAAGACGCCCACTTTGAGCGGAGTCTTCTCCAGCAATTCATTAACTGTGGATTGGTATAATGATTAAATAGCTATCAACCAGAAGTAATATCTCTAAGGTTCCTTACCAATATGTATAACGGGCTTCATGAAGTCCGTTCGGTGTATGTCAAAGGTGCTGCTGCTTTCCGATCCCCACTTGACATTAGATGGTATGCCCAGGGTCTCGGCCACAGGGCCACGGATCAGTTCTTCCAGCAGCTGATCGCGATCTTCGTCAATTTCAAACTTCACCATGGTGCGGTACTGTCGTTCTGGCAGGAGATTTATTTTATATCACGATTTTAGTTATACTTCCAGGCACTCACCTTCGGGTGTCATGGCCAGCTGCCTCTGGAATCGGTCGCCGAGGGTCTCCTTCAAAACATTGTAAAAGTCAACACCTTTGGAGGCCTTCATTACCTCCCACTGGGTGTTGCCCCACTGGGCAGTGGCCTGGATCCGCCTGGGCGCCTGGACGTCCGTCGACGAATCCCCAATCCTGATCTCCCGGTCCATATCCGGCCTTGCCTACGGTTTGCAATTGTTTGTGTGAGCGATAGATAGATAGATAGATCGTAAGACGGTGATTTATGGACGCCTCTTGCTATACGTGGGAAATCTCACCTGGTGGACAACGGACCATGCACTGAGGGACATTGCAGGAGGTGAAGTTCTTTGAGATTCAAACGGACAGTCCAAAGGTTTCAGCGTCATATCGCTGGGCACGGAATCCAGCTTGAGAGCCGTTTTGGATCAACTGCAAAGGAGATGCACGGTCAGGCCCCGAAATATTTATGAAATATCTCACCTTTCTAGCAACAATACAAGATCCAGGCTCCTTTATGTTGCAAACGTGCATTCGCTCCGCCTTCTCACCAGGTATTTGTGCAATTCACTGATACAGTTTTTTTTGGTTGCGTTGCGCCGATCAAGTGCCAAAAAAGATATATATATATATATATATCCTTCAACCAGTGGAAAATGCCATGCCGCTAATCTCAATCTAAATCTAAATCTTAGATTTGGTTAATCTCCAGTGTTTATTTATTATTTATTTGACCTTTTTAGCATACAAAATAAACAAAACATAAAACCGTCGCCCGTTTTCAGAAAATGAGTGTGACCATTCCATCATGTCACGATGTTTGGAACGGAACGGATAATATAATATAATATAATTTTTGCAATCTACGAATTAAAGTCTGCTTTCAAAAGTAAGCCCGAAATTTTTTGCGACCGAGGGCTTATCTTATCTTATTATTATTTACTTTATAGACCTACAAAATGCAAATTTTTTTCAACCGATAAAACTAACGATAAATCCGATATGGATGCTATCGAAAGTTGTATGAATATTTTTAAGACAAAAAAAACACGCGCAACGCAAACCGTTCCGTTCAGTTTTTGTTATATAGTTCAGTGTTTAAAGTTTAATAAAATGGAAAAGGAATCGAAGTCAGGAGGAGCCGGCACGCCCAAGCCCCACAATGCTGGCATGCGATGTAAGAGTTATAAATATAAATATATATAAATATTCACAAAATTTTATTTCAGATGGCTCCGAACGATGTTTTCCCCATCAATTGTGGGAAAATGGGAAGGTATGATTCTTGATACATAGCATATTATATAGCTTACACATAGCATACATATTACACATATTACATGTGTGTACAAATTGCCTGCTCTTGTTTCTAGTGTGTAGGTGGAATTTTTTAGGTGGCATGGCTGTTGGCACAGCAGTCGACAAATGTCAACTAAATGTAGTTTCACGATCGACGATCGGGAGCCACCTGTGTGTTCTTATATTATTATTATTATACCCTCAAAAAAGATTTGAGGTAAGATTTTTTAGATTTGTGGTAAAACTGGATGTGTGCAACGCAGAGAAGGAAACGACCCCATAAAGTATATATATTCTTGATCAGCATCAATAGCCGAGTCTCTGTCTGTCCGTCTGTCCGTCTTGATGAGCGCCTGGATCTCAAAGACTATAAAAGCTAGAGGAACCAAATTTGGTTTCCAGACTCATGTGATATCACACTGCTACAAGTGTATTTCAATTTCGCCCTGCCCCCTTCCGCCCCCACAAAGAACGAAAATCTGTGGCAGGCACATTTTTAAAGATACGCTAAAACTAAAAACGCATTATCGTAGAGAATGCCCATATCTACCAGACTGCCGAATCTGAATCAGATCGGATCATAATTATAGCCAGAATGAAGACATTTTTCTGTTGGTTCCCTCTCCTTCTCCAGCGCTGCTGACGCTACTGATTCTCTTTCTCGCTCGCACACTCTGCCGCGTTCAGTGCGCGAGCAACCCCTAACGGAGGAGATAAAAATTAACCGTTAACTGAAGATTTTTTCGGTCATATCATATGTTTTGCATGCAAAATAATTAAATATAAAAATACCTTTAGAAAAAGCTAAAAGTGAAGAAATCACATTTTTCAAGTTTTCAGGCAAATTTTCTCATGAAAACCACTGAGATATTCCATTGCATTATGAAAATTTGGACATTTCTTTATACAGCTGTGGCATAAATAATAGCACCATGACACTCAATTTTCTGTATTGAAGGATTTTATTTAAACAGTGGTATTCATGAACGGTTTAAGAACAAATATATATACTTTAGGATGTAATCTAATGTTTCCGAAAGCAATAGTTTGTATTGCAGACTTCAAACGAAAATTACACTAGTCAACACGATTTTTCCTCAAGGAACAAAACGAACTTTTTCTTAAAGATTTGGGGCTTAGAAATGGTTTGATGATAATTTTTTTTTTTTCTATGGCAGAACTTTTTTTTGAAGAATTTTTGAAAACTGGTATTTTTTTTTTAAGCTTTTTTCAGAGGTAGCGCTTGTTTTTTTCACATAGCTCTAGTGTCTTACGTCTGGTTGTAAACAACTTTGCTATTTTGAAAAGATAATTAAAACAGCTAGAAGTTAAGCCCAAACACTTTGTGATTACAGCTTACCGTCTGGGAAATATAAAGCATTGAAATGCAAAAATGATGATTTTTGTGCGGTATTTTTTACGAAATTTTGACTTTAAAAACTCAGGAAAAGTCGAAAAAAAATTATATCCTGTGTCCTCTATTTTTTTGTGTATAGGTGCACTAATTTGGCGTCGTTTAAGCTGTAATCACAAAGTGTTTGGGCTTAACTTCTAGCTGTTTTAATTATCTTTTCAAAATAGCAAAGTTCTTTACAACCAGACGTAAGATTCTAGAGCTATGTGAAAAAAACAAGCGCTACCTCTGAAAAAAGCATACAAAAAAAATACCAGACTTCGAAAATTCTTCAAAAAAAAGTTCTGCCATAGAAAAAAAACCATAATTCTTTAAAAAATTTTAAATCCCCATATCTATCAGAAAAAGTCGGTTTGGATCCTTGAGGAAAAAAAAAGTTCGATTTTGTCGAGTAGTGTTATCAACCAAAAATATTAAACTTAAAAAAAAACGAGAAGGAACGTGTGAGTCGCTTCTGGGGACGCGACTCTACTTATACCCGTACTCAGTCAGTATATACATTTTTGAGCTTATGATTTTTTAGAATTTAAAAATTAAAAAAAAAATTTTATATGTTACATTTTTTTGCTACATCTGTTATCTACATCTACATCTACAATGTATATTCCACATCTAACATGTAGATTGTACATGTACCATTTATATTCTACATCTCCTCCGCTAGGGGTTGCTCGCGCACTGAACGCGGCAGAGTGTGCGAGCGAGAAAGAGAATCAGTAGCGTCAGCAGCGCTGGAGAAGGAGAGGGAACCAACAGAAAATTAATTTCTTCATTCTGGCTATAATTATGATCCGATCTAGTTCAGATTCGGCAATCTGGTAGATATGGGCATTCTCTACGATACTGCGTTTTTAGTTTTATCGTATCTTTAAAAATGTGCCTGCCACAGATTTTCGTCCTTTGTGGGGGCGGAAGGGGGCGGGGCGAAATTTTGAAATACACTTGTAGCAGTGTGATATCACATGAGTCTGGAAACCAAATTTGGTTTCTCTAGCTCTTATAGTCTCTCAGATCTAGGCGCTCATCAAGACGGACAGACGGACAGACGGACGGACGGACGGACGGACAGACGGACATGGCTATATCGACTCGGCTATTGATGCTGATCAAGAATATATATACTTTATGGGGTCGGAAACGTTTCCTTCTCTGCGTTGCACACATCCACTTTTACTACAAATCTAATATACCCCTTAACTCTTTTTTGAGTACGGGTATAACAAATTTAAAAGAAGCTTTCCAAATTTTTCATTAAAGTAGGTTACTTTAGTTGTATTCAAAGGTTAATATTTTGTTGTAAAGCCTTTGGAAGCAACCACAGTGTCTCAGCGTCTTGTCATGAAAGTTCACCTCATTTTCGCATCTTTCCTGGGAGATATGGCACCACCAATAATGCCTGATACCCCAAAGATCAATATTGTTCCTTGGTTTCATATTAGAAACATATTTTTTAGCTTTAGCGCAAAGATTTTTCATGGTGTTCATATCTGGCGACTAAGCAGGCCAACGCATTACATTAAATGCACTGATCTCGAACCACCTTCGATGCTTCCTTGCTGGTCTGTTTTAGATCATTGTCCTGATGGCAGACACAAAACAACGGCATTTCCTATTCCATATAAGGCAGCATCATTATTTTCTAATATTTTAATATAGACATGTTGATCCATCATCCATTTGTGCCATGTATTGGACCACCTCAATAACACGAAAAGCATGCCCATGCAATGATACTTATCCCTGAGTGTTTAATGGTTTTATATATTAGCCAGGGGTTTTTATTCTGCATTAGGTGTCGTCATACATAAGATTGATAGCCTTTTCCACAAAAAAAAATAATTTGACTTTCTTCGGACCACATGATGTTTCTTTGGGACAACTCCAGTGCTATTTGCATACTGCACTCACTTTGCCCCATGGCTTTCTTTCTAAAGTGGATTTTTCCTAGGACTTTTGGCACTTAATTTATTATCTTGTATGCAAGAACTAACTTTGCTCATCCTTGGCGATTTATAAGGGTCCTTCTTGCTCTCATCAAGCAGTAGTTTGACCGGAAATGGCGGTATCTCGGCTTTTATTCCGTGTGTTTTTTGTTGGTTGCATGTTTTAAAGCATTGCGAATCAATGCTCAATGATCAACCAACAATTTGCTTCACACTAAGATAGGTGTTTCCTTCTGAAATAAAAGTTTTAATCCTCATGCTTTTTTCTTACCTAAAGTGCTTTCTAAGACCCAAAACTACTTTTATTTTGTTAAGTTCTTGCCAAAATCAATCTAAGACACCGTGTTTTAATTTATTTAAGATCATAAAATATCAAAAAGCTCGGAAAAGTAAAAGTTTTTATAAAAAACCAATTTTAGTGCTATTTTTGTTGCCGTCTTATTTCGCACCTCTTTCGCAAAATTGCATAAAGTAATAAGAACAGTTAGGATTTTGAGAGTAAGCACACTTCTCTCAGAGAGGAGATATGTAAACCTAATTGATATTACAGTAGAGTGCAAAATATGTTGGTTAGTGATCATTTTTTGAAACAATAAAGACTGTGGTACCAAACAGTGCTATTATTTCTGCCGCAACTGTAAGTATACACAAAAAAATACGATGATTATGAATATTTTATTTGTCGGTCCTGGTTGACCATTCGGCGGATATGCCTATATATAATTTGATTTTAAACGTTTTATTACAATATAAGAAACAAAATATGATACAACTGTATGTAACCGACTCACCCTCGTTATAATAAATAACAATAATAATATTTACAATAACATTTTTGGAACATTTACAGCGTGCAGGATTTCAAATGCTCCCATATCCATGCAGTGTCAGCTGTCAACGCGCCTGTCACGTATTGCCGTCACTGCGTATCCAGCAGGAGAAACTAGCAAGAGCTCGTGCACGTATTCAGCAAGAGAAACTAGCAAGAGCTCGTGCACGTGCACGCAGCCAGCAGGAGAAACTAGCAAGAGCTACCACCTCCCGCCAAGTACATACGGCTAGTGGAGATCATATGTACGCGAGTACGCGTACAAAGAGAGATGCAGAGAGAGATGCAGAGAGAGATGCAGAGGAGGATGCAGAGGAGGATTCAGAGGAAGAATCAGAGCAGGATTCAATCGTAGAGCGTGCCATAGAAGAGCACGAAAAAAAATCAGCACGAGACGCCGAGATTCAGCGGCGAGCTGTCAGGCGATATGCCCAGCACCTGGCCCATGCCCGCCAGCAACAGGTCCAGTTGTGCCCCATCACGGGCATACTGATTGGCCGGGAGGAGCAGCAGCGACAACTGGAGCTGGAGGAGCAGCGAGAGCTGGAGCAGGAGGAGCAGCAGCGACAACAGGAGCACGCCACGAGATAAAAAATCTTGTCTTTACGAGATAAAAATCTTGTCTTTACGAGATAAAAAATCTTGTCTTTACGAGATAAAAAATCTTGTCTTTACGAGATAAAAATCTTGTCTTTACGAGATAAAAATCTCGTTATTATGAGAAAAGCTGTCCGATCGACCTCATTTTCCTTATTTGGAAATGAAAGATCGCTGATGAGGAAGAGTGGTTTCTTCCGAAACAGTTTCATTATTATTATTATATAACGCATTTTTTAATAATTGTTAATTGTAATCATATATGTATTTATTAAATTTAAGGAAGAAAAATAAATTTTTAAAAGAAAATCAAAAGTCCGTCAACCATCTGTCTGTCTGTCCTTATAGATATATATTTAAATTTGATGCTGCTACTCCGCCAGTGTGTTGAACTTCATCGTCGCGACCCTCGTACCTGAAATGAGAGCGGGGATGTGTGTGCATGACACCCATCTTTTGGGTTGTGGACAACTACACCCACTGCCTGGGACCGGTATTTAGTGGTAGATTTGCAGTACTGCCAACCATTATGCTCATGATGAATTGCACTTTCAGTTCTTTGTGATCGGAGTGGCTTGTCTGACCACTGCCGTCGTCAGCATTGCCTATTGGATTGGTTTCCCCTTTTGGTTGGCTATGGAGCTTCACTGGAGAGAGCGATAAAGGTAAATTTATGACTACCATTGCCGAGTTTTTTTACTTGAGCGAGTTTCTAATTGTTATTTTAGAACCTTGCGATCTATCGTCATCCTTACATATTAAAATATGTGACCACATGGGACCAGTCGGGACAAAAGCATCTTGCCACGGAGAGAGTCAGGCCACTTAACGACGTGCTGGCTAAGCAGAGCGACATACAAATTTGCCTGGGTCTACGAAGGATACTCTGCAGCCTTATATTTTTGATTGAAAAGGCACAGGCAAGGCATTTAAATATATGCACACATTCCGTTTACGTGACAGACAGAACTGCTGGAGGAACTCTTCAACTCGTGCCGTCCCGGAGCAGTGGGTGGCTTCCTGCCCGGCGTCAAGCAAATCGCGAATGTGGCCGCCCTGCCAGGAATTGTGGGTCGCTCAATCGGCCTGCCTGACATACACTCCGGCTATGGATTCGCCATCGGGAACATGGCCGCTTTTGACATGGATAGCCCGCTGTCGATAGTGAGTCCTGGCGGCGTGGGCTTCGACATCAATTGCGGGGTCCGCCTGCTGCGCACCAATTTGTACGAGAAGGACGTGCAGCCCGTGAAGGAGCAGCTGGCACAGTCTCTGTTCGACCACATACCTGTCGGGGTGGGCTCAAAGGGCATCATTCCGATGAACGCCCGTGACCTGGAGGAGGCCTTGGAAATGGGGATGGACGTCTGGGCCGAGGACAAGGAGCACTGCGAGGAGTACGGCCGCATGGTGAACGCCGACCCCGCCAAGGTAAGCATGCGGGCCAAGAAGCGTGGTCTGCCGCAGCTTGGAACACTGGGTGCCGGCAACCACTACGCCGAGATCCAGGTGGTGGACGAAATCTACGACAAGTGGAGCGCCTCCAAGATGGGCATCGAGGAGAAGGGCCAGGTGGTCGTCATGATACACTCGGGAAGTCGCGGCTTTGGTCACCAGGTGGCCGCGCTGGTGCAAATGGAAAAGGCCATGAAACGCGACAAGATAGAGACCAACGATCGGCAGCTGGCCTGCGCCCGCATCAACTCTGTGGAGGGACAGGTCTACCTCAAGGCCATGGCGGCGGCGGCCAACTTCGCCTGGGTCAACCGCAGCTCCATGACCTCCATGCCAGGGGGCGTCGGAGACTCTCCGCCTACGTGCCCTTAAATTGGACCATGCCAAGTGGTCGCCCGATATCGTGAATGCTGTCTGTAAGGTTGCACGCTCCCTACTCTTCTTGGACATGCGTCACTGTGATGTGCGGGATTATCAGATAACACGGCTCTTGGAATCGGCGGATAAGATGGAGGCTCTTACTCTGCTGCATGTGCACAATCAGACGGGAGAATCTTATCTGCAGTACAATATACTCAGCAAGGTGCCAGCCTTAAAACTCATCCACATAACGATTCTCGGAATATTGCCGTTTTCACCTGAGGAGCTGTCCCAGCAGTGCACGCGCCTCAGCTTTTTGATTAGCGACTTGATCAACAGGGAATTCAAAATATACGGACCAACAGCTTACCTACAAAACTACTATAAATATTACCATGAATATTTCAAGACCCACTGAATGTTACAACCAAAAAATGTTAAATGATCTCAAAATAAATCCGTAAAAATAACCGAAAATATGTATTCAGTTCATGCTGAACCAGTTCGCATGTAATATCATATATCATATCTTATCATATCTTCATTTCGTATTTGCAGGAATCGACCTTCGATTTGCCAAATTCTGTCTTTACCACCATTGGTGTTGCCAGCTCATTCGCCTCTTCTTGTCCTCGTCTTTGGCATCACTTCCAATCCTGACCAGGTCTCCGTAATCTGGAGCGACGGATTGAGCCCGGCTGGCACGCTGAAAATTGTGGAGGAGCTACCCACATTGATTAAGTTCAGGTTCAGCAGCTTCAAGTACAGGGCATTGTTAAAACGATCCGATTTCTCCGTTTTCACTGTGACCAGGTGCACCAAAAGGTCAAGAGTCTATCCTGAGACGCGTATGTCGGCCAAGTGGACGAACCGGTAGATATTATCCTGCATCGCTGAAGTGATGCAGCGCCTTGAAGATAGGACTTCCGATAGGACTTTCTTGCAACCGGACAACTAAATTTGGTCCAATTACTATACACATCACAGCCTGGACTGGTCATGTGGCGAAATGGAAAAGAAAGCGTAGAACTTTCGCAAAAAAAATAGGGAAACGCTTGAAAGCCTTGTTGTGTCGTTCTTCCTACAAAACTGCTACTTACCAACAGAACAGAAATCAATATTCTAATGATTTCATATATTTCATCCATTAGACATTAGTTATATCTCAAAACAATATTTTCCGACTTGTTTTGAGATATAACTGTAGTTCTTCTATAGAAATTCAAATTTTCTGAGATATTTATTACAGGGTAGATGACTATGAAAAAAAAAATTTTTGAAATAAGTTTTATAATAAAAGCTTCTAGACATTGTAGCACCATTTTATCTTGCAAACTGAATTTTGAAAGATTTTCCTTTCAAATCCAGTTTATTTCATGAAGATATCTTGATTCGTTCAGATGTTATTAATTTAGCAAGCTGAAATGGCCGAAGGCCCCATTGTGCGACGGAAGAAAAGGTTGCTGGTTGGTACAACCAGTACAAATATATTCCATATATTTGATTTAGTGCAAATTGTTGTTGGACGCGGAGAAGGCGTGTTCCCATCGGTTAGAAAATTAATTCAAAACTCACTAATAATAAAAACAGTCAATATGCCAAGTTTAAACATTCTAGCTTTACTGTGTAGGTTAATGCCATACAAAAACAGCATTTCCGCCCACTGTGCGTTGGCTGGCGATGATTAAACTGACTAAAACGAATGAAGTTGAGCCGCTCCGTTTCTACCTTTATGTACATGTCGACGCAGTACTTTTGAAACAACCGGCGATATCTCAACAGATAATTGTCAACCTCTGGTCGAATCATCAATAGATACGCATACAAATTCATTGCTCTGACCTTCTTATTCGTTTTCTGCACGTTCGTAAAAACATTCTCCTGGCAACAACTGAATACCACTGACAACAAATTTAAATCAAATCAGTCCAGCCGTTCTTACGAGATGTACCATACATTTTCATCTCTCCATTTATATACATATATATAGATGGGGTCGGAAACGTTTTCTTCTCTGCGTTGCAAACATCCACTTTTACCAAAAACCTAATATACCCCTTAACTCCTCGAGTACGGGTATAAAAATGGAAGGGAACTATCGCAATCCGGCTAGAAAAGTGCAATAATAAAGATTAATGTAATCTAATTAAGTCAGTCGAATGAATACCGATATTCGAATTTACTAATTTTATATTCACTACTCATTTTATTAAAACAGGTAAGCAAAACTAATTGAGACTATTAAGACTGTGACACGACTACAAAACAATTCTTCCAGCTTCTGATGCGTTTAAAAACGTTGTCATTTCAGGGCCAATCCTTCTAATGCAATATTAAGCTTATGACATATTAATTCAAATTGGGATAAATATCTTACATAATATAAATAACACTGCGTTAAAATAGAAGCTTTTGAATGTACTTTGCCCGAGACAAAAATTAGGTTGTAGGCCCGAATGAATTTGCAATATACCCCCTTTTAAGTACGCAGAATAAGGTTATTTATTAATACTAGTTGCGTTTATAATATATAGTGTTTGTGTGTTCCAACTCCCATGCGTTCGACGATAACTTGATTGTCCCGAGAAAAAGGCCAAGCACTGCAATATAAGCAAATTGAAGGGCACATACGAGCTATTAAAGGCTCATGCTCATAGGAATATTTAAAGATGAAATAGTTCTCATTCCGAGGATTCCAACGATCCCCACTGATAATCACTTGGAGTTTAAACGAATTGAGTTCCAATTCCTCTTGCCTTCGCCATGGCGGTTAACAAATCGCATGGCAAATCCTTGATTGTTTGTGGTCACCACTTAAAAAATCCATGTTTTTCTCATGGTCGGTTCTACGAATTTTTTTTAGAATTATAAATAATTTTTAAATACTTCTTCTTTTTTTCATTCTGAAAAGCTAATTGATGCAGCTAAAAATTATACCCAAGCACCTTGTGGTTTTAGCTTACCGAAATATTAAGTGGAGTGCGTGGCTGGATGGGGGGACAGGAGCTTATTTTAATTAAGTAGGTGGCAGCATCTTATTTACTTTACGCGTGATTCAAGTATATTTTTGATTAATTTTCACCATTATACATAGTATGTACATATGTATGGCATATGTGGTGTAATCGATATAATTAAATAATTATAAATAAGTGCATAAATGTTTGTCTAATTATAGAAACTACAGCGAAATCATTATTAGACATGGAATGTATGTAAGCCTTCACACATATGATGACAATAGGAACCATTGAAATAATATTAAACACCGAAACTTTTAAACATTTAAGAACGGACCATGGCTATGTTTTAAAGAGAGCGTATTCTATTAACTTATGTATGTCCGCCTACAGACAGAATGTAGCTTGTATTGGATACCCAATCCAACCCAAATACTTGACATTTTGACACAATACTTTGGCCTGCATGTAATACTAATGTATTGTTTATATGTTATAGGTTTATATAGATTAAAGCTCTATTCTTCCACTTTCAGCTGGTCCATGGAGCTTAGAGTCGTTTCGATGAGCAAATTGTAGTCCAATTCGTTTAGACTCGCCTTCGCCGTCAGCAAGTCAAGAAAAGAGTCCAGAGGTGACAGTGTTTCCGCACTAAGATCTGAAACATGAATTATCACGTGAGTTACAACTTTAGAAACTACACCATAAAACAGAAACAAAAAGACGCATGCATTTTCAGACAGGACAGAGACTGGCAAACACGGAGTTAGATGAATGATGGCGCTGTCATCGCTTACCAGTTATCGATGAGTATTTGAGTATTCTACCAAATGCGGGACTGTTGCCTGAACACAAAACTAGAAATGCTCAGGACGGCCGTGGTTAAAATGATAAGTAGGAAAACCAAAACAAGCGAATGGCAAACAACTGTGTGAGGCTTTCCCAAGGCTGAATCGGGGTGGATGTGCGTGCAAATGAAATTGATTCAAAATATGAATGGGGAAGAAGGAAATCTCACCGCTCCTCGCGTTGGTCCGCAACTGGTTGGCACAGGCAGATGGTCGCTGCTGGTGGGGGGCTTCCTGCTGCTGACCCGATAGGATGTTGGCTGCATGCTCCCGGCCACGGATCATGAGGCTGTCCGGATGCTGCCAGCATTTCAGCAGCCTCTGGGCCCGCTGCTTGGGCAGGGCTGTCAGTAACAAGAGCTTTCGCTCGATCCCCAGCGGGGAGTCTTCGATATCTGAAAAGGAATCGGAAGTAAGTTAGTGCGTCAAATTAAAGTAATGCTCGAAAGTAATCCCACCATAGACAATACTCTTCATCACATCCACCTGCAGCTCAAACACGTGGTTCTCCACGTACTGCAGGAACATATCAAATTCCAAGGCCCGATACCCCAGGTAGGTAAAGAACGATGAAAAGCCTTCGGGCAGGGGAAAGGCAATCGATTCCACAGCCAAACAATACCGCTCCAGGATGAGAAACAGTGAATGCTGTTGACTGCCAGCCATTTGGTCACTAGAAAACAAAAGGGCATTCAACAAATTTCCTGTAAAATCCCGTAGCAAGGAGTCGATTTCCTTCACCCACATCAGTTGAAAGCCCCGCAATGTCTCCACACGTGCATCGAGGCCCGTTGCTCGGCACACCAACGAGCATAGGGCCCTGGAAAGCTCCAGCTGTGAGGACACGAACTGCGAGGCAACGGCATGAACATGAGCCGGAGCCTGCGACCGCTCGAAAAAGGTCTCCTTCAGCCAGCGGAATCCTGTTTGCGGTTTCGACGAGTGTTTAACCAAATGGACGCTCAGTTCCCGTAAATACTATCAGCACATCGTTAGTAAAGCTCTTAGGGAAAAGATTATTTTAATTACCACAGAGATGACATGCTCCTGTTTGCTGGCCGTGCATCCCTCAAGCTCTATGAAGGGCAGTACTTCGTTGCTGAACGGAAAAGCGCTGCTGCTGCTGTAATCCCCAAATCCGCCGCCGGTGCCCGTATTCGGCGTCATTGGTGTGGTAGAACGGGATAAAGCCTCCGGCTGATAGCACGCCAGACTGAAGATCAGCTTCTCTGTGACCTGTTCAGCGCTGAATCGTGGCTGCTCCTGCTTGGCTGACTCGTTCAGTAGGTCCCAGAGACGTGTCCAGATATCGGTGCGGTAAGGCGATAGTCGCTGCTGCGGCGAGAGCAACATCATGCTGGTGTTGTGAAGCGTCTCGTGCGACAGACCCACATTGATGTCAGCCACACGGGCATGGATGGGGCGCGAAGCTATGGCCGTTGTCAGAGGTATGAGTCTCATCAGTGGCTTGGCTTCTTCGGGCAAACCTCGAACGGCAGCCGCATAGCTGCCCGCCACGAGGGCCTCCTTCAGCAGGGCCACCGTATCGAGGGATAGAGGACGCTCCAAAATGGTGTTCAGCAGCTCCGCCAGGACATCCAAATCATTGGAATGCAGTAAAAAGTAGTGAATGATGCTGATGCGATTGTCCAGGGAGCTGTCATTTCGGAACGCCTCAATGAGATGCGATCTGGGCACAGTCAGCGAAACCAAGTCCAAGGTGGCTGTGTCATAGGCCAAGGTGCCCCACTTCCTCAAGGGCACAAACTGGGTAATCCGGGTAAGATCCGGCCCTCGATTGTGGGCCGCACAAACGATGTGACAGATGGGCTCGTGCTGCAGGCCCACATCCAGCAAGTGCACGAAGAAGGCCGAGGAAACGAGCAAATGGTGCTGACCATGCAGGGAAAATGTGGGCCGTAGCAAGCGAGCCTTCTGCCAGGGAACGCCTGGCATAACACAGTGCACCACACAGCCGTGATGCAGCAGCGTTACGGAATAGGCAAAATGCACCTCCTGCTGCTCAGTCTGCATGGGCTGGTACAGGTAATAATGGCAGACGAAGAACATGCCCGAACTGTCCGCCAGAATGATTAAGTTTAGCGTGCTATCGTGCACGCGCAGCGGGACAGCATCGTCGTCGTAGCTGGGCATTGAATCATTCGAGTCATTGGAGCCCGTTGGCAGCTTCGGCAGATTTAGGGGTATATTGAGCTGGAAAGGCCGAGTGCATCATCACAATAACTGGGTTGACTAAGCTATGTAGCCAGACTACCTACCACCGTTTCCGTCGGCTGTTTCTCGTTAAACTGAAAAGCGGACAGTGTTGGACTCAGCGTGGGAGCTGCCTGCCCGCCTGTCTCCTCCCGTTCGTCCAGCAAACTGAGACTTTTCGCCTTTGGCTTTAGGTGTATGTAATACAGGGCCTGGCACTCTGCATCCCACTGAGCCCAGCTGAAGTTCTTGGCCAGTTTTTCATGTGTCAGAATGCTAGTGTCCAGCTGCCAGGCACTGCCTTCCGCACCACCAGGTTGCGTTGTGGTCGAGCTTTGCTTGACGATGCAATTGTACTGCTTGATGGCTGTACGGGAGAATATGCTTAAGGGGGTTCCTTACTTCACGCCAAACTCAGACGACAACTACTTACATTCCTCGTGGGTGAGCACCAACAGTTTGTCCTGCCAGCAGGTGCGCGTGGCGCCCTCCACACGCCACAGAAACTGTGTCATTATCTGTCGCGACGAGGGCTCCTCGTTAAGGGGTGTGGGCGAGCCGCTCTCGGTGCTGCGCACTTCCACAACGAAGGCCTGGTAGAACTGTCCCTCGGACTTGACAACATACGAGAGGAGAGTCACGCTGCTGTTGATGCTCGCCTGGATGACCTCGCAACAGGGCATGGTCCACAGCAGGCGCAGCTGCTTTTTGGTGGCATGGAAATGTCCAATGCAGGTCTCACGTCTCTTTTCATCATCCAAATAGTCAAATATCCAGGATGTTAACAGTGAGCCGTCCTGCTCCTGGCCTAAAATTCTCCATTCATTCGCCTTTTCTGCTTCGAGGGAGCAGTTAAATAAATGCTTAATTAGCAGTAAATGGCTTTGATATTAAACTTGCCTATGTGCCCCTGGCTGGCCAGAAGTCCGCAGAAGTTGGCGGCCAAGTTCTCCTGACGCAACATTGTGATTTTTATTTAAAATCGTCTCATTTTTTTGTGCAACCCGCGGATAGGCAGTAAAAATCAATAACAACAGCTGTGTTCGCGGCCATCGGTGTGACCGTAAGCTGAGAGCCACAAAAATACCACACAATAGTGTTAAATATTTCAATAAGTAGTGTTGGAAAAGTATCTTAATCTTGTTAAATTTTTTCAACGTAAAACGAGAGTAACGGGCTAAATTATAGAGTAATAGCCTTTTTACACTGGGCGCGTCTGCTATCGATATCGGAATAGACGCAATGAAGCAGAAAAGGCGTTTACATTGGCAGACGTGCGTCTTGAATTTTGTTTTGGGTGCTTGATGACAAGGAAAGTAAACAAATTTTGAGAAATCAACAGAATTATGCAAGACGACAAGAAAATGGACGAAAGAGAATTGATTCTTATATTTATTTATTATGTTCAGACATTTCTTTGTAGAGCTTGTGGGAGATCTTCTTAAAATTATGAAAACCATCGAAGTTCGTCTCCAGCAGTGTCATAATGGCATCAGGGGATCACAAAACTGTCGTATGATAATAATACAATCAGTTTCAAGTATTTTATTTAATGACTTTATGTATATTTTCACCTTTTTGCACAATCATACATTTTTAGCGCCAAAATTTGATTTTTGATCTACAATTTTTTGTTGTTATTAGTGGTGATAGTTGCGCTGATAGGCAGAAAATCCCAAAAATGAGCAAAAGCAATCGAATATATCGAATAGACGCACATGAATCAGAAACTGACGCAACTTTTTGCCACCACTAGGGCCCTATGCTTAACCTATGTAAAAAAAACTGCGTCTTCGCCAAGACGCAAAGAAGCATGACGCAGTCCCAATGTAAACAGCCTATCAGCCTGGAGAAACATCGATGAAAGCATCGATGCATCGATGTTTTTAAACTTTTTGGAAACATCGATCTTTAATGGCGACTATCGATGTTTTTGCAAGGTAAGTAAAGTGATGGAAGCGGAGAAGGTACATACATATGTGTAAAAATGTATTTATAAATTGAATTATTATCTGTATTTAGATGTTTTCAGGTATTCAACTGGTGGTGTAGGCAACGTCGGTGGAGGTGCGGCAACATCGTGCGAGTCCGAAAGGTCTTTCAGCTAGGCTGGACAGATCATATCGGACCGTCGCACCAGACTTAAAGTTGATGTCCTAAATAAACTTATGTATCAATAAGAACCAAACCATTTTCTGTTAAACTTATAGAACAAGTTTTGTATTTTGATCTCATTGAATTTGTTTTTTTTTTTGCTTTTACGAATATTATTTATTTTGTTATAAAATGAATAAAATCTTTTCACTTAAATCAATTTAATTTAAAAAAAAAAGTGTGTCCACGAACATCGATGTTTCACCACCTCTACAAGACAAGCAACATGCCATCGGATAATTTTCTAGTATCTATCAACAAAGTATATTTAATTTCGGTATATTTCTGGGCGTCAGACGGTATATTTTATTGATAATTCTGCGGGAACATTTCTGAAAGAACAGTTATTTTGAACATATTTTTTTTGTGCAAAAAGAAAGAAAATAAAGTAAAACTTTGAAAAATTCAAAATGCCGAGTGAAATAATTACGCTTCAACTGGGCCAATGCGGCAATCAGAGTGAGCAAAAACTTCAACTGGTAACTTCGCCTGCTAATTTTCTGTTTAAGTTGGTTTTGAGTTCTGGAAGAGATTGTGCCTGGAGCACGGCATATCCCCGGACGGAGTGCTCGAGGACTTTGCATCCGACGGGCAGGACCGGAAGGACGTGTTCTTCTACCAGGCCGACGACAACCATTACATCCCGCGCGCTGTTCTGATCGACCTGGAGCCGCGTGTCATTCAGAGCATTATGACTTCCCCATATGCCAAGGTAAGTCAACTGGCCTAGAGTCCAGAAAACGAATCAGTGCGGAACGATATACTTCTTTCCCTTGGTAGCTCTACAATCCGGAAAATGTGTTTCTGTCGAAGCATGGCGGCGGCGCAGGAAACAACTGGGCCTCCGGCTTTAGCCAAGGCGAGCGCGTCCAAGAGGAGGTCTTCGATATACTCGACCGGGAGGCGGATGGCAGCGATTCGCTTGAGGGTTTCGTGCTGTGTCACTCCATTGCCGGAGGCACGGGGTCTGGCATGGGTTCATACGTGCTCGAGCGACTCTCCGATCGATTCCCCAAGAAACTTATACAGACCTACAGTGTGTTCCCCAACCAGGATGAGATCAGCGATGTGGTCGTGCAGCCCTACAACTCGATACTCACTCTGAAGCGGCTAACCAAGTGCGCCGATAGCGTCGTGGTGCTGGACAACACCGCTTTGAACCGCATAGCCACTGAGCGTCTGCACATCCAGACGCCGACATTCACGCAGATCAACAATCTGGTCTCCACCATCATGAGTGTGAGCACGACCACCTTGCGGTATCCCTCGTATATGAACAACAATTTGATTGGTCTGATTGCCCCGCTGATACCCACGCCCCAGCTGCATTTCCTTATGACCGGCTACACACCGCTCATATCGGACTATAAGGTGAGCTAAGCGAGCTGATCACTCTATTGCTCTTCCATCCAAACCACTCCTTATGTTATGATGGATTCCAGACCAAGGCGAATGTAAGGAGGACAACCGTGCTGGACGTGATGCGACGCCTACTGCAGCCCAAGAATATGATGGTCTCCTCAACGGCTGACAAGCAGAATCGACATTGCTTCATCTCCATATTGAACATCATACAGGGCGAAGTGGATCCCACTCAGGTGCACAAGTCCCTTCAGCGTATAAGGGAGCGTAAGCTGGCCCAGTTCATACCCTGGGGCCCGGCTAGCATCCAGGTTGCGTTATCGCGCAGCTCTCCCTATGTGCAGACCGCCCACAAGGTGTCCGGACTGATGATGGCCAATCATACGGGCATTAGCGCGCTCTTTAATCGTGCCCTGGCGCAGTATGACAAGCTAAAGAAGCGCAACGCCTTTCTGGATAATTTCCGTCGCGAAGATATGTTCAAGGAGGATCTCACCGAGCTGGACTTGGCCCGAGACACTGTCGACTGTCTAGTGCAGGAGTACGAGGCTGCAACGCAGATCGACTATCGCCAGTGGAGTCCCCGTGTGGAGCCAAAGGGAAGAGCTTGAGCTATGAAATGATTTTGTATTTATAAAGAAGTTTCAATTGGCGTTGAGTTACATTATATACTTGAATATGTTGTGTTGATCTGATCTGATCAGACTTTATCAAAACTTTTACTCTTCAGCTGCTTAGCTGTAAACACGGCCATGACAAGAGGGGGGTGAAGGGTGCATTTGCCCCGGCCGCCCCAATTTAGGGGAGCCGATTAAGATAATGGACCGGTTCTTATGCAGTTTCAAAGTTTCATTTTTGCCCATCCAAAATGTATACATAATCATGTATGCTTTTGAAGAAAATGTCCAAATTTGCTAATGGCATGCAGCACAGGTGTCTGTTTCGTGGTTCTTCGCAAACATTCGCCCTTTAAGCTGTTCCTCACTGTTGTGTTTCGGTATGGAGAAAACGTTGTGTTCAGGGTGAGAACTAAAATCGAACTGACTTTATTACTCTCTCAAGCGCTCTCTGAGCATACATAAATTCGGGTGAGGTAGTGTTAGTGTGTATGTGAATACATTTCAATGGATCGTGAAATAATACTTATGTTGCTAACATATAACACTCACCATGATGCAATTATATAAGGTGGTCTCGTCGGCAGCAGCAGGCCCTTAACAATACTTACAATAGGTGCGAGTGAAAGGGCTCAGCAGTAAGTGTGAGTGAAACAACAATAGAGCGTGTGGATTAACCCTCTAATGGTCCATGGGGTTTAAAGTTGCCGGTTATAATAAAAGGAGTTGATGTGTTTTTTATAATTTAATTTTTAATAGTTTTGAATTTGAAATTAAGCGCTGTTTTTGTTTCTGAATAGAAATTTTTTGGTTCAGACTCTTAATTCTAAAATAAATTCTTATCTTAAAATAAAACCTTTTTATATCTAAATTAATATTAACATTTTCGGAAGCCATTATCAATTTTTCCTTAACGTTTTTTGTTATGTTAAAATGTTCTTTTATAATGTTTAAAAATATTATTTCCAGCTCTTTCAGTTCATTTTTGAACTGTGCAGAAGGTTTTATAAGTCCACCATGCGAGACCTCATCTACGTAGGTAAATGTCGAATTTTCGGCAAACTCATTGGAAAGTCGCAGTTTTTTGATATCATAGCCTGCTAGGTACTCAATGGCATCCTCCGTTAGCTCGTCTAGCTCAGTTTCTGGTGCTATGTTGTTATCAATGTCTACCACAAAATCTTCATATTCGTTCTCCTTGTTGTGTTGACTTAGGTCTGCTTGAGTAGGTATGTCTAGGTTCAACCAAGTGTCAGAATTGTCTTCATCAACATTTTGATTGTTTGACAATAATTCAGTATTCTTGGCTGAATAAAAAAAAAGATTATTAAAAAATGATAATAATAAAAAATAAAACATGGTAAATCACAAAACAAAACACAAAATACAGAACACAGAACAAACCTACAAACAATCACAATCAAAACTTTTCTGGCTGAAACATAGAGCTAAACATTTGACAATTAGTATTTTTAAATTCAATTATTAATTAATAGAGTGTTTCAATTTTGTCATACCTGTTATATATTTTCTTAGCCTATACTTAAATTGAAGTGGAGTCGGATGGTCAAACTGTCCACCTTTAGACCGCATGGCGCCAAAAAAATTCTCCACAATGTCTTGGTTAAGACGACTTGTTAAAATATAACGAATCTCGTACTTCTCCGATAAATATCCATGCAAACCAGGAAGGGATGCATTGTTAACTAAAATACCTTTTTGGAACGGAAGCTTATGAGCTTTGCCAACTATCTCCGTGCGCATAATCTCAGACATTTTAGCCAAAATGCTTCGTTGAACTTCGATTTGTTGGCCATAGGGCTGCGTCGCTTCAATGGAATTTGCTGTTGATAATTTCGAATTGAAAACGTCAAACCAATCATTGAATATTTTGAAGAGATCAGCGGTTTCGCATGCGTTCTCTACTTCATAACCCAACGCATAGCATCGTCTAATGGCGCTAGCGGTTGTATTGGAGAACAGTTGTGTTGCCAATTTGACCTTCTGTTTAGCCAGCGAACCAATATTGATGTGATTATCGGTAATCTTGAACAATATTGACACATCTGATTTAGCACAGTGGCTGATTGTCTGCTGGACTGTCGTCTTAGTCAATCTATTTCCGTTGATGACTAATCCGGAGTGGACATAGTGGTTACGGATCAACTTTACCAGATGGGGAGTATCCGAAAAAACAAATATTTTCAATTCTTCATCCGCTGGATGGCTAAACCAGGTCTTTGCTAAACAAAGAAAAATGTTTCAAATATCTCTTTTGTTTAATTTTGTATAAGAAACTTACTCTCCGATATGCCAAGCTCCCTCCATAATCTTTGATTTCCAGCGCCCAAATCAGAAACAATGGCAACAACAGGATAACCTCTTTTGTGAAGCTTATTTATAATTGATAGCAAAGTATCCGCGTCCATTCGAGCATTGAAATCAAAGTATACTGGCTGCTTCCAAGATTTTTTCAAGCCACGCGCTATGGCCAGTTGAACATAGTTGCTCGGCTCATAGACAACATCCGCTGAGCTGTCATACTCGAAAGCAGCAGCAACCTTCATTTCATCGAAGGACAAAACGCAGAGCTTATCCACTTCGGACATTTCCTCATTTTCCATGAGGTCTATCACTACGTCTAGCTTACCGGCATTAATTTTCACATCTGCCAACCATCTATATAATGTTGCTCGACTCGGCAAAGGAAATCCTTTTCTATATAGATGATTGTAGGCACGAGGTCCCGCGGTATGAAGGCAGATGGCAGCAGAAATGTCTGTTGCATTAAATACAGCTCTCTTCCCTCCACTCTTCAAAATATTTATTTGCGTCTCGGTGAAAATTTTTCCTAAAGATTTGTTTAATTCCTCGTACTCTCCAAGTTGCTGGCGTAAAGATAGCATCTCCTTCTCCATAAGGCGAAGTTGTTTTTTCAGGCTTTCGTTCTTAGTTATGGAGAACGTTACGATTTATACATTTTTCCCTACATTACAAGTAAATTATTGTTTTATTTATTTAAACACGGTTAGCTTACTCTGTTTGCGTGCTCGAATCGGCGTAGCCTAATTTTAAAATATTTGGTTCAGGCTCTGGGTCTCTTTCCGGAACAGCATCGTCATTTAGGCGCCTTCTTTTAAAGACTTGGCCTTTAAAATGCGTGTCGCAAATTTTGGAGTTCTCTCCCAGGCTGCAGCCTAGAGATTTCTCCCACAATTCTCTTTTCACATTACATTTTGGTGCCTTTATCAATTTCACACCGAGCACGTGCTTGCGGCAAACGCGGCAATATGTCATTTTTTTTTTAAACAAGGGTTAAGGTTTGGCAAAAAATTTGTCCGTACCGAACCTTTCACTACAACAAGCGAGCGCGCACTGAACGTTAAGGTCCTCAAACCCGAACGATTCGGCAGCCGACGAGACCACCTTATATAATTGCATCATGACACTCACCATCCTCCTCTTCTTCTAGTTCAATCACGCGTTTTTCTACCCGTACTCGAAGAGTTGAGGTATATTAGCATCAAAACAGCCGAGTCGATATAGACATGTCTGTCGTCCGCCTGTCCGTCCGTCCGTCTGTACGTCTTGTTTGTAGCCGAAATCTCAGAGACTATAAGAGCTAGAGCACCAAATTTTGCTTCTAGACTCATGTGATATCAAACTTAGTCAAGTTTGTTTCAAAATTTTGCCCCACAAAGGACGAAAATCTGTGGCAGCCACAATTTTGAAGATACGATAAAACGATAAAACTCTGTTTCGTAGAGAATGCCCATATCTATCAGAGTGCTGAATCTGATTGAGATTGGATTAATTTTATAATCAGAATGAAGAAATTGATTTTCAGTTGCTTCCCCCACGGTACTTATTCCCTTTCTCGGTCGCACACACTCTGCCCTGTTCAATGCGCGACGATTTGTCGAGATTTATAATCTAACTCTGTATGTAAAATCTACATAACAGATTTAGCAAAAAAAAAAAAGTACAATGTAAAATGTAAAAATCTACATAAATTATAAGCTCACAAATTTATATACTGACTCAGTACTGGTATAAAAGTAGAGTCGCGTCCATAGAAAGCTACTCACACGTTCCTTCTCATTTGTGCATTTAAAGCGTGTGAACCGCGAAAACGCCCAAAACGTTGTCTTCTTTTACGAATAAATAGAGTTTAAGATTGTTGAATAAAATCAGTATCAGAAACAGTACCATCACTGCCTGTTCACTCGTCTACTCTACAATTGCAATCATCAGAGGTTGTCGGTGTATCTTCTGACCCTCATTTGCTCACCGTAGGAAACCCTCTCCGCAGGCCAATTGGTTCAAGTTCTAGTTGCGAAGACAAAATTGTAAACGGTTTATGTACCGTATGCATACCAAATCACACACACAAGCACACGTTAACATAAATAAATGAGAGAATAATAAATTAGAGAATAATCATTGTCCTATTAGTATCCGTTTAGACATCTATTTGTATTTAGCCTGAGCACTCTTTGCCTTTTATTTATCAGAATGTGTGTATTCGATCGAATGAGTTCAGTTGGTTGCTAAATTCGATCCGGTCAGGTGGGTTGCTTAGCAGATTCCCAGAAAAGTTTCACAGGTGAGTGAGAAAAGTTGAAAATTCCTTGGAGAAAACATCTCAGCCCCAATACACAATATACATTCTATAGATGTACATATGTCTTTAGCCATATCCCTCTTTACACCAATCACATGCACCTACGTGGAAACGTCCATGCAGCCTCTACCTTTCCATATCATCTCTCTACTATTAGCCTGATTGACTAACCCGATCCTCGTCCCACCTCCAGAGCCGCCATGTGCTGTCCAAGTCGCTATTATCGGACCACGCCGTGCGTGCAGTGCTGCCTAATCGACTGCAGCTACTGCTGCTTCCAATCGGACTGCTGTGGTCCCTGCTGTGTGACCACCCACCCGCCTAGCTTGTGTGGCGGATGCTTTGGTCCTTGCTGCTAACTGGGATTCCTTTTTTTGGCATCCACAGTACGAGGAGAACGAAGCAGGCGAGTTGACTTAGAGCAACTTTCGAGGTTGACGAGCTACCGAACATCGGATGTGAGCTCATTCCGACTTTGAGCCTGGTTGTAAGCACAACAACAAAAATTCCAATTTTCCAATAACTAACATCTTTTGGAATACTACACTATTTTGATTGTGGTAAGTGGCTAAGAGCATTCCCCTGATGGAAATCGTTTTGCTACTTAGACTTCATGGCAACTCTTTCTACCTTTCACAGAACACTTGTGCTCTTTGTCGGAACCAACAACAGCCACCTCCACCCTCCATCCTCCATCTCAGCAGCAGTTCCTGCTGTTGCTCCAGCTGATTGGGTTCGTCGATATGTGCTGCAATCCTGGTGGCTGCTGCGGCCTGCCCGCCTGCATCCAGTGCACCAACTTCTGCTTCAACTGCTGGACCGGCACGGCGAGCGTTCCCAGCTGCCGCACCGGCTACTCGCCCGGCTGTCCACTCTATCGCGGTTGCTGTGGTGGTCCACGAGGTTGTTGCTAGCGACGCTCCTCGATGTCTACGAAATTAAGAAATAACATTCGCCCTCCCAAATAAAATCATCCGTGAATAAAACCCAACAAAAAGAACCCCACACGACAGTTTGACTGACCGAGTACCAGCCTATACCTATTGAGGCGTCGAGGAGCTTTAGATTTCAGAAATGAAATCCCCTCTGCTGACGCTGTATCTTTTTAGGCACATCATCATAGTCAAATTAGATGCTCGTACCCTGGGAATGGAGGGGTGCCCTTGAAACCACTTGTGGCAGGTGATAGTAGGTGGGCTCCATCATTTGAAACTGCATAGGATGTTCTTGCTGAAGTGGCGTTGGCCCCGTTACATCGAGGGGAGCTTTCACTAAGGAGTTAAGAAGGAAGTGCGTGTGAGGGGTTAAGTAGGAGTGACGAAATCAGAAAACGTGCTCTGAAAAACTGCTGTCAGATATCGAGGCCAGGGTCAAACCCGATAGTAAAAATTGAGAAGTGAGTGGTGAGCAGTTCGGGCCCATAGCTTGGCTCGGAATATTGTAGCCGGGTCAGGTATCTTTGCTGGAGAGGATTCCTTTTTTTTTTGGAGAAGATAGGATCGGTTTCTTGAGAGGATCGCGTTTTGCTGGAGTGGGCTGTATGTCCCCCCATATTGGGAAGTGGATAATTCTCGACTAGCCAGACGATCCGACGTTCCAAAGCCGTGAGTCCGTTCTATATTTATTTACATATTTACTTACATATTTATTTGTTCTTTATTCTAGTGCTCCAAGATATAATTTTAAGGCCACAAAAATTATTTTATTTTTAAAATTAAAAAATTTATTTCTATTAGTATTAACATCATCTTCAATCTTTAAATTGTTTAATTTTAATAGAAATATTTTGGTTTTGTTTATCCCTTTTTTATTATTTTTATTATACAAGGGGTATAAGGGGTATATTAGATTTGTGGTAAAAGTGGATATGTGTAACGCAGAGAAGGAAACGTTTCCGACCCCATAAAGTATATATATTATTGATCAGCATCAATAGCCGAGTCGATATAGCCATGTCTGTCTCTCCGTCTTGTTGAGCGCCTGGATCTCAGAGACTATAAGGGCTAGGGTAACCAAATTTGGTTTCCAGACTCATGTGATATCACACTGCTACAAGTGTATTTCAAAATTTCGCCCCGCCCCCTTCCGCCACCATAAAGAACGAAAATCTGTGGCAGGCACAATTTTAAAGATACGATAAAACTAAACGCAGTATCGTAAAGAATGACCATATCTACCAGATTGCCGAATCTAAATTAGATCGGATCATAATTATAGCCAGAATGAAGAAATTAATTTTCTGTTGGTTCTTCCGCCCCCTCCTGACAGAGACACGCTACCTATCTCTTTCTCACTCGCAAACTCTGCCGTGTTCAGTGCGCGAGCAATCCCTAGCGGAGGAGATGTAGAATATAAATGGAACATGTACAATCTACATGTTAGATGTATAATATACATTGTAGATGTAGATAGCAGATGTAGCAAAAAAGTGTAAAATGTAAAATTTTTTTTTTATTTTAAAATTCTAAAAAATGATATGCTCAAAAATGTACATATATACTGACTGAGTACGGGTATTAATAGAGTCGCGTCCCCAGAAGCGACTCGCACGTTCCTTCTCGTTTTCTCTAGGCACATGTGACCTGCTTTGATCTCTCCCGGAAACTAACCTTCCTCAATCCTAACCTTCTCGGTCACGTTTTTTTTCTTCCTCCCACCACGCATCCCTGTTCCCGACTCTCAGGATCCGCACCAGATGTCGCTGTCATACTTGCTCTCCAACCCTAGCCACTATCGTGTTCATCCCAAGCCGTCCATAACAGTGTGTATTGCTTAAGTTTAAATTGCGTTGCGTTTCCAATGTGTTTTAGGTCATTTGGGAGCTGATTCCAGACTCGAATTAACAAGAGCTCTCGATAAGGCGGGACTGGAACACCTCTTTGCCTCTATAAAGGCCTAAAAAGATACAGCGGCAGAAGAGGGGACTATACATTTCTGACAAAGACGTTGGCCAATCTAAAGCTCCTCGACGCCTCAATAGGTATAGGCTGGTACTCGGTCAGTCAAACTGTCGTGTGGGGTTCTTTTTGTTGGGTTTTATTCACGGATGATTTTATTTGGGAGGGCGAATGTTATTTCATAATTTCGTAGACATCGAGGAGCGTTGCTAGCAACAACCTCGTGGACCACCACAGCAGCCGCGATAGAGTGGACAGCCGGGCGAGTAGCCGGTGCGGCAGCTGGGAACGCTCGCCGTGCCGGTCCAGCAGTTGAAGCAGAAGTTGGTGCACTGGATGCAGGCGGGCAGGCCGCAGCAGCCACCAGGATTGCAGCACATATCGACGAACCCAATCAGCTGGAGCAACAGCAGGAACTGCTGCTGAGATGGAGGATGGAGGGTGGAGGTGGCTGTTGTTGGTTCCGACAAAGAGCACAAGTGTTCTGTGAAAGGTAGAAAGAGTTGCCATGAAGTCTAAGTAGCAAAACGATTTCCATCAGGGGAATGCTCTTAGCCACTTACCACAATCAAAATAGTGTAGTATTCCAAAAGATGTTAGTTATTGGAAAATTGGAATTTTTGTTGTTGTGCTTACAACCAGGCTCAAAGTCGGAATGAGCTCACATCCGATGTTCGGTAGCTCGTCAACCTCGAAAGTTGTTTTAAATCAACTCGCCTGCTTCGTTCTCCTCGTACTGTGGATGCCAAAAAAAGGAATCCCAGTTAGCAGCAAGGACCAAAGCATCCGCCACACAAGCTAGGCGGGTGGGTGGTCACACAGCAGGGACCACAGCAGTCCGATTGGAAGCAGCAGTAGCTGCAGTCGATTAGGCAGCACTGCACGCACGGCGTGGTCCGATAATAGCGACTTGGACAGCACATGGCGGCTCTGGAGGTGGGACGAGGATCGGGTTAGTCAATCAGGCTAATAGTAGAGAGATGAGATGGTAACTGAAGATCCATCATAGAGGAATGTCGTAAACAAATTGCGATAAGAAGCAAACGAGACAAAAGACAAGAAATATTCAAACATCTCTATTGTGTGACCCCTCTTAATAAAAATAAAACAAAATTATTCTGTAAGATTATTCTGTAAGAAAATTCGTGCGGGTACACTGCTTGCTAAAACCGAGAACTACCAACGAGCAAGCAAACTGCTTCTACTTTAAATGTTTGCTGAAGGTATTAAACGCTGAAGTAATAATTCACACTTCGCTCAACCCCGAAATCTATAAGAAAAAGTCATTTTGGGCCACAGCCTAATTGTCATGTTGACTAGTGTAATCAAAAGATCTATTCCACGCAAGTCTCGGGTAGGTATGTAATAACACAACCAACTATAATCAATATAAAGATGTATTTTAATACAATTCGCACACAATTAAGTTTCACTGTGATTTTCGGAGGCTTGGTCAACAAATTCTAGCTGAGCCGTTTCTCCATACTTTTACTTTACCCCAAGGTCTAATTAATTCTCCTTTATGTATGTACATGTAATAACATAAGATATAATATTTTAATTTCCACTTTTCCTGAGTTATCAAAATTTTGAAAACAAAAAGTACAATAAAATCATAGTCTTAAAGCTCAATATTTACCAGACGGTAAGCTGAAATCACAAAATGCTTAAATCCAATTTATAGCTGCATTTATTAGTTTTTCAGAATGCCAAAAATGGTTACAACCAGCTGTAAGATACTCAAGATAAAGGCGCTACCCCTGAAAAAAGCATTACAAACTAAGTTTTGTATATAAATGTGATTAACTATTTTTTAAGCTCCAAATCCATAAACAAAAAAACAAAAGATTCTTGCCACAATTTTCATACATTTTCTCAGCTGAAATTATCGCTATACGCTCATATTTGAAGCAATTCAACTTGTTTTTTTAATTGTTTAATTTTTTTTTATTTGTTCGACACATGATCATCTATAACTGCCATCAGAAATATAAACAACAATATTATTAAAAATCTAGCAAAATATCACTATTAATAAAACATCATCCAAAACGTTTACTTATTTGGATACCTGCTCACAAAAATATTGAAGTCAATGAGCTAGCCATTAGCGCCAAATCTGCTCCATATAGTTCTCTAATATTAATCCATAGCACCTGACATAAACAAGTTCCTAAAAAGTAATATGCTCACAGATAAACACAAACAAATACAATTAACATTAAATTGGTACCAAATCTTTATATAACGAGAGGGAACGTGTGAGTCGCTTCTGGGGACGCGACTCTACCTATACCCGTACTCAGTGAGTATATACATTTGAGCTTATGATTTTTTAGAATTTTAGAATTCATTTTAAATTTTTTTGCTACATTTGTTATCTACATCTACAATGTATATTATACATCTAACATGTAGATTATACATGTACCATTTTGATTCTACAGCTTTACAGCCAGCGGGCTCTCGCGTCCATAACGAGGCAGAGTGTGCGAGCGAGAAAGAGAATGAGTAGCGGGTCACTTGATGAAGAAGGCGGGGGAACCAACTGAAAATTTATTTCTCCATTCTGGCTAAATTTATGATTCGATCTGATTCAGATTCGGCAATCTGGTAGATATGGTCATTCTCCACGATACTGCGTTTAGTTTTATCGTATCTTAAAAATTGTGCCTGCCACAGGTTTTTTCCTTTGTGGAGGTGGAAACGTTTCCTTCTCTGCGTTACACACATCCACTTTTACCACAAATTTAACTCTTTTTGAGTACAGGTAGAACAATTATATATCAGATTATGAATAAACAAAAAATTCAACCAAAACAAAGTTTTTCCCATGTACAAGCAAAAATAATAACATTAAGACTAGGACACACACTAATAACCAGCCAAAACTACCTAAATAAAAACCCCACAAACATCTGTATAAAATGTAATGATGTACCAATGAAAATATAAAATCTACTAAAATGAACACCTAAAATATTTGGTAACGATAATTCTATTTCATTACTATCCAGCCCTTCTGAAAACACTAATATTGTTTTTCACAATATAGCTTTTAGTCCTATATATGATCAGTTTGTAAATAAAGGATATAATATAATATAGGCGAAGAAAGGACTCCAAGGAACCTTTAACACTTACCTGTGAAAATATTTCTGGGAATCTGCTAAGCAACCCACCAGACCAGACCGAATTTAGCAACCAACTGAACTCGTTCGATAGAATATACGTACATACATTCTGGTAAATGAAAAGCCAAAGCCTGTTTAGCCTAAATTCCTATAATTCCTAATGCCTAAATTCCAGCCTATATGTCAAATGGATTCAATTAAAACAATGGATATTCTGGATTAAAATTCTGGACAAGCTCAACAGTCGGAAAAATAAAAATAAAATGCCAAAACAGGTACAAAAATCCGACCGTTTGTTCGCCGCCATATGAAACGGTAGGAAAAGCATTGGAACCGGAAATTAAAATTTTTATTGCATTGTGAGCACCGTAAAAAGGAAACTTGCTTCACATGCCTTCCCGAAACTTCCATTGGGTAATTTAATTTCTCATTCAAGGAAGAGTCGTCTAACCAATTTGTGCTAGTTTGCCCAAAAAATGAATTTTATCGGTCAATGTAGTTTATGCAACGCACCCCATTATTACCTAATGTGTACTCTTGGTCAGGATGAGATGAATATAGTATACGTAGAGCCATATAGAACCACCCACTTCTAAGGAAAAATTAAACTCGATTGCTTTATTTAAAAACAAAATAATTTTATTGTGTTTTGATGGAAATAGAAATTCTTACAATAATACAATTGTGGTTGTTGGTTTTTGTTGCTTGGTTGGTTTATTATTACTGATACACAACATTTTTTAAATGTTAATTAATACCGTACTTTAATATAATAATAATTTCATGTTTCGTTTTTTTTTTGTTTTTTGGTTTTTGGTTTTTCTCATTTTTTAATTACTTCGAAAATTGTGGCCCCTAAGCATTAAAAGACTTTTCATCGTTCTCTTTTTATTTTATCAATACTCGTATTATTTTGCAAGTTTTTTTCGATGCTGTTGCTGTTGTTGGTATTTCGAGTACTATTCATAATCAGTATTCAGTATATATAAAATTCATAGAGGGTGTCTTTTCCAGAATTAGCTCTAGCAAGTTGCAGCATTTCAGATATTATTATATTATTCCACGTGTATAAAAATATTTATATATAATTTACAGCAATTATTTGTTGCTTTTTGCTTTACTTACACATTACATTAATGAGTTTTAATCTTTGTTTGACTTGTTTTGCTTTTTTATATATGTATATACATATATATAAAATGCGCATACAATACAGTTGGAATCGTAGTAATAATAATAGTTAATGAGTTTATAACGTTCACATTCAATTAAATCGTATTCGATATAGTTACGATTTTGATTACAATACACTTTACTTTGTTTTTTCTGTTCTTTTTGAATTCAAATCTAGTGGAATACAAAAAAAACACAGCTTTGTGGTTATCGAAAAATAGAAAGTGATCAATTTAAATGCTTCGTTTTGGTTTGATATTCTTGAGAAAGTTGTCGTTATCTTTAAAGTTTAAACTGTGCTTGGTTCGTTGGTAGGATCCTGTACTTGACTTACTGACTGAATGATTCAATGAGTGAGTGAGTGAGTGAGTGGGTGAGTGAGTACCATGCGGGGGCTTGAGGAGATGAGCTGAGCTGATCCTGGCAGTAAGTAAGGTTGAGTGTCAGTAAAAAAATGAACCAAATCTATGTAATTCTGTATGTATGAGGTTAAATGTTTGTATGCATATAAGAAACAGTATATTGCATATAGTATGCATTTGGTGGGCGTGTATATCGTTTTTTTCATATTTTTTCATTTCTTTCAACACAAAAATTTAACAATTTCCTCTTTCGAAACAGCTGAGAATGGCGCCTGACAAAGTCTCTATATAATATATATAATTATGCATATATGATTAAAAATGCCAACCCTCAATGATATACATTATTTGCATGTCAGTCCATATTTTCCACATTCTTGTCCTTTGCTTTAACATGTTTTTTTTTTTTTGTTTCGTTTGTATCTCCTAAGTTTAAAACAAAATTTGAGCGAAATATAAGAGTTTCAACGGAACGATTTGTGAAAACAATTAACCACAGGGAAAACATATTGTTCAGCGTATAAAAAGTTTGCTTTTGGTTTTTCCATTAATAATATGTGTTTAAGTATGTCTATGTGTATGGTATATATGTATGTAAAAGCAATTTAAGCAACACCCTGTATACTCTCGTTTTTTTTAGTTACACTTTCAAATTCAACTTGGCTTTAGCAGAGACTTTCAAATTTAAATTCAAATTGCGTTTAAAGGGAATACATATATTGTACGTATAAAAATTAGTTCTTAGTCAAAAAATATATAAAGGTCAGCTATAAAGAAAACTTAATTGTAACGACATTTAACATTAGATTGGTGTTCTGTTCTCGTTCTTATTTGGTTTAGGTTTCTTTTCCACTTATTGATTAATATTAATAATTATAAAAATACATATATATATATATGTATGTATGTATATGTGTATGCATGATGACTAGATGATGGTTCCATGATCGGCGTAGTTGCACTATATATGTAGCTATGTAAACACTAGAATCTATATCGAATGCGTATGTATGATTATGATTAGATGAGCTAACATTTATGCATCGTATGTATGTATGTGTATCTCAATCGTCTTGTTTTCCTCCTTTTCTGTCTACGTGTGTATCTGTGTGTGAGTGTGTGTGTTTCTTGTGTGCGGTTCGACCGTAGAGACTCATTTACACTAATTGGAAATACATACATACATATACCAGTGTGTATGTATGCATATTTATATACTTTTTTGAGTCCCGAAATTGATTTAAATTAATTGCATAACGAAAACTGTCCAATGCACATTCATAAGAGTATATGCGAGTAGGAGCATATGTCATCCATCCTTCATTACATATGTATATAGATCTTCCTTTCTCAAACAACAAATTTAACATAGCAGAAGTGAATGGGGAATGTTTGTTAATAATATACAGAGATTAGATAGAGTGCTATCTCCTCTATTCAAATGAAATGCTGTATTCTGTCTGCCAAGCTTTGGGTGCTGATGCTGTCGTGGTTTTTGCTGTGCAGCACTGCAAAAAAAAGGGGGTACAAAAATTAAAATCAATGGGTAACAACAAAAAGAAATTATACCAAGCAACTGGAAGTGTAAATTCAATTCTACGCACACTCTCTTTGGGATTCCTGTGTTCCACCTTAAAAATACAAATCAATGCAATCAAAAAAATAAAGATAATAGTTGTTCCATAATTAGAATTCCCTCATTTAGTTATTGCATTTTCCATTGCCCATTTGGTTCTCATTTAAATTTTCATTAACTTTTACCTTAAATTCCTAACAATTTTTTATTATTTTTGAAATGCGTTGCTTTGCTTTAAAAATTACAAAAAAGCTTGGGATATGAATTGTTTAATAATTTTTTTTTGGTTTTTTTTTAGTCTTCAATAGGAAGATTAAGCAGCTAACAACAAACAGTTAATATGCCTTGTGTTTTGTATACGCACTATTTTTATCGGTTATATATGTATATGTATATTATGTATATAAATATTGTATTTTGCAGCTAGAAAAATTAGCGAAAATATTTATATATATTTATATTTGTAGTTGTGGATGTCTTGCGCGTTTAGAGTTCTAGGGTTTTTATTCAGTTGAGTTTGTTTTGAGAAAGTGAAAGATCAGTTTTCATCTAAAATCAGTTGAGTCTTCGTTCCTCAGTTTAAACAAGTGCAGTATGGAAAAGCGGAAACGGAAAAGTCTGTTCAGAAAAATTCCCTAAACGAGTCTCATATTCATTTTATTTCACATAAGAGTTTTTTTTTTAGTTTTTTTCAAGTTTTTTTTTTTGTTTTATGTTTTTAGTTTCACGTTTACGTTTTCGAAGCAGTCTAAGATTTTGTTGTTTTCTAGTGTTGAAAAATGGTAAGTTTTCTACTAAATTTGGTTTTTTTGCCTTTAAATACACACATAAATATATTCGTATATATTTGTAGATATATATGATTTATATATACGGTTCATAACTTACGGCTTACATATGTATGTAGCAGATGTAGCCTACTAGAGTGTAAATGTATTACAGATGGAGAGGGCCGCGTTTGCGGGCATCAACTTCAACTTGATTCGTTATATAGTAGCAACATTATAAATATATATGTATATGCATGTATATGTGTATAATTTGTTGTGTAAATGTTTTCAATTCGTGTATAAAATCAGTCATAGTCAATTATTTGTTTGGTTTTTAGTGTTTATCAATAATGTTTATGTTGTGGTTGGGATTACTAGTCGAATGTGGGGGAAAAAACTCGCCAGAAGAAGGGAATAGACTGCTGAACTTTTTCCAATCTGATTGATTGATTCCTTGCTCCCATTGACAAAGGGAAAATTATAAGAGGGGAAAGAACAATCCTTTCTACAATTTTACAATATTACGATTCGCACAAATGACATACATACAAACAGACACTACTCAAGCATGCATATTGAACATACATAAATTTATATAAATACTTTCTTGATGTACATATGTATATTTATCTGTATATATGTATGTATACTTATATTCTGTTAAAACACTTTGACGGACTATAAGAATTAAAATTCTACTTGCAGAAAACTGTTGGGGCTGCCGCAAGGTCGAGCGATTCGGATTCGTTTTGCATTCGTGGCTGCCCCAAGCATAGACACGCATAATCATTTGGTTATTCAGTTAAATACTACATAGTGTTTAAGCATTTCTCGAGTGGTTCCTTTATGCATAGTCTAATAATACTTAAAAACACTTCTACGAAGCCAGTTTGAATTTTAATTTACTTTTGGTTTTAGTTTTTTATTAGTTCGCTGCTGGTTTGACGTCTGTCAATATCGATCCCCTTGAATTTTTACAAAATTTAAATTCCATACAAACATGCTCAACAACGCCGACGAATGCCTTTGATTTACGTTTTGTTTCCTTTCCTTAATAACATTTATCAAAAATATAAACTACAATTAAAATGATTTTTGGTTTTCTGGTTTAGATATGACATACAAACATATACATATGTACGGATACACCTACTTGCATAGTATATGTAAGTATAACCTATCCCCTAGGTTTTTTTTCCACGTAACTTGTGCCTGGCAGTCTCTTGACCCGCTCGAAAAAAGACAGAGAGCCCAGTTCTTAGGGGGGACCGATCTCGCTTGATTTCGATTTTGCTTCGATTCCATTCAACATTCATATAGAGCTCCTAACAATCACAAAAAATAATAGTCGTAATAGTAGTACATATTTTCTCGCACATACATAGGTACGTGTATATATGAGTGATATACAACACTAGCATGCACTGCATTTGCCATTGCCTTTGCCATTCATTAAACAACACTTACACTTAGCTCTAATGAAAATATTCCTTAAGGATCGCTTCCTAGAACGGACCTGTTGCCTTCATTTCCTACTGGTGGTGTTACTTTTCTTTCGATTTCCCTTTCTGTTATTTTCTTCTCCTGTTTTTGGGAGGGAGAAACGAGACCTTTCCCCAAAAAACTAATCACAAATGGCCACACACGCAAAATGGCCAGCTACATATACTATATAGGTAATGTTAACATATATAAATCGGTTTATACATATGTATGTACGTATGTATGTATGTAGAGATATTCGCATGCGACAAAGTCAGCGCCAGAGTTGTAGGAGAGTTCAACCACTCTGACACTACAGTTTGGCGACTATATATATTCGTGTATATGTATGTATTTATGTATATCTAGGGGAGAGCACAGTTAGTTGGCGGTATAAAACGTTTATCGATTCGAATTATCAGAAATAAAAATGCATACACGAGTACTGTCCTATATGTAGTTAGTTTTGATAGCTCACTGTGCTATAGTTATACGATCTAGCTTATACATATACATATATATGTACATAAATATGATTCCTTATGGTGTCCTTTGGGTCGCGTGTGTGTTTGACTTCTTTTTGACCAATTTTCGCATATAGAGAAACATATATATTTAAAAAAATTATTTCGGCTTTCTTTATGTTTTTGTTGTTGCACAGTCTATTAGATTCTCAATTCATCAAATGTTTATCAACATACATTCATCATATATATATATATATATATATAAGTATATACAGTGATGGAAAAAATAATAGAAACGGCATGTGCATTCAAATTTGAAACCAAATATTTCATTTTTGGAGCAAATTGTTTGAATAAAAACAACTGTGCTTTGTTTCAGGATTTGGATTTGGATTCTCTTTTGGGCTCCTTTCGTAAAAATTATGAGCTTGGTACACTAATTTGTAGAAAGATCACGTTTTTGTCTTGGAAAAAATAATAGAAACGCATTCAAATTTTGTTCTTATATTGTGATAAAACGGCTAAAATCGAATTATAGAGGCAATATATTATCGCCAAAAGACAAAAGAAGATATGAAATACCTATTCCTGAGGATCCCGTTTTTGTTGTTGTTAATTTTCGGTTCAGAATGGAAATTGCCGTTTCTATTATTTTTTCCATCACTGCATATAACCATATGAGGTTTATATATATTTTATACCACTACTACAGACACAGGGGGATGTCAGGAGAGGGAGAGCAGAGAGAGAGAGGGTCTCAGGGTGGTCATCAGGGGTGTACAAAACGTCGCAACTGTTCAAACTATAAAAATCAAATAAAAAATAAATCAAATCAAATAAAACTACTAAATAAATAAAGCAAACAAGTTAGGGTTTTTTTTATCAGAATATATATCAAAATCTTTAATGTTTCTTGGTTTTTGTTTTTATTTTGTTTGTGGCATTTGTTGGATTGTGTGTGTGTGTGTGCTTCGTGTAGACAACAGTTTACAACAATTTGTGGAGCAGAGGGTCTGTCTGGTTATTGTTTAGTTTTTTGTTTTAAATACTATAATTTATAGTATAAATACTATAATTTTTATTTGCATTTCCATTTGTGTGTGTGTGTGTTGGTGTGTCTGTGTGTGGTGTGTGTTGGTGTGGGTGTGTGGTCGTTTCATAACATTTAAAAACCTAATAATAATGATAATAATAGTTGATAAACATAAAAACAAGTTTACGCAAGCACAAAATACAAATAAAAGTCCTCGCCGGAATCGGTCTATGCCATCCAAAATGCTAATAAATACATTTAAATAGTTTGCATTCGCATATACAGTAACTACATTATCAGTTATGTAGGTATGGTATTGGTATATTATATGCCTATTAGGCCATAATAAATACCATCAATTAGCAGTTTTTCATTTGTTTTCTTTTAACAATTTTTATATAAAAAAATTTCAACAGTTTTTAGTTTTTTTTTGTGGTTTTGTTTTTTGGTTGTCAAGTAAAAAGTTTTCTCACACAGAAAATGTACAATACTTTCATTTCCCCCTCCGTTGCATCATTGCATCGTCGTCGTCGTTACAGCTACATACAATACATAATGACATCGTTCGTCGTTACAAGAGAAAACTACAAAATATATGCTCGTATATATAATAATCTCACTTAATAAATACACACAAAAATAATCATAGAAAACCCAAAAAAAATACACTAAGAAAAGCGTTTTTCCAAAACAAACAACGAAAGCGCTAGCATATTTAAATAAGTAATACATAGGTATGTATAATAATTATATTCAAGAAGTCTAATACCTGCTTATGTGCGTGTGTGTGTGTGTGTGTATGTGTGTCGGGTGGTCATGGGGGGCGGGGGCTGTTGGGGCTGATGAGGCTGCTGGGTTACAGGGGCTCCAAGCAAAACCAACAAAAAAAGAGATTAAATACTTTAAGAATTACAAAATAAACATTTTTTAAATGCTGTTCCTGTTAATGTTGCGTTTGTAGTCTCAAAAGGTTCGGTTCCTTACATATTCCCCCCCCTGCTCGTCTAATTATTAATTATTATTTAACTAACACTTAGAGAACACTTTAGTTAGCAAAGTAAATGCCTTAAATGGATACAGTGCGCGCCACAAGCATAAGGAGGCACGCACTGTCGGCCCTCGAAAGAGAACCTAACGTAACGTAGCGAAGCTGCTGCCTGTTTTTCTATCCTTCCTTCCTTTCCATTTCTCCTCTTCCTTATGTTTCTTTAATAATTTTTAAATTATTTGAGATTTTTTTTTGTTTCACTCTTCAAGTGTTTCCGTCATACTCGTACTAGTATATATGTATAGGGACACATATCTATTATATATCTAGTTGTATAATTATAGTAGTTATAAATGTTAAGTCTTCTGTGCTGATTGCCAACTTTCAGTTAAATGTATTTGTTACTTTAAAATTGATTTATGCACACTTTTAATTGGAACATTAGTTCAAATTGCATCGAAACTGCCACTATCTGCGGTTTAATTGAACAACAAATTCGAAATTACGCAAATTGCAGCTGGAAATAAGCAGGGTTACTCATAAATACTCGTAAGGGATATACATATGTACTCATAAATAAAGGATCAACAATTATGAGCACGATTTATGCTGATTTTGTGTCAGTTGTGTGTGGACTTGTAAATTATGAAACGGCAAAGATTGGTTTGGCTTTGTTATTATTTTGTTAAAGATACTTTTTTGTGTGGTGTGGTATAGTAAAACAATGGAATAAAAAACATAAAACGTAAAACATAAAACGTAAAGCTAGTCGAGTATAAAAATGAATTCTGTTGTGTCGCGGTTTGGGCTCAGTTTTGGTTCGGGTTGGGAATCGGGCGTGGGTGTGGGTGTGGTTTTCATATAAAGGTAGCAAACATTTCTTAAGCAATAGGTTTGTATAAATAATCAGTAATCAATAGATAGTATAATCAAAAAATAATTTATAAACATAAAAACAGTTGTATAATATATATATGTATCAAATTTTTATGCAATCAAAGAATAATAATAACAAACAAGCTGCGCAGTAGTGATACATCTAGAATTACAATCGGTTATCAAATAATTACGCTCGATGCGCAGCCACCTTTTCCTCGACTCGACCCTTCTTCGACTATCGATCGTCGTTATAAGCAGCTAATCGTTATTTATAGTTTATTATTTTTTAGTTTTTTGTTTTATTTTTGTAATCTATGTTTTCTCTTGCTTCTTCCATAGTTTGCAACGAACATGAGAAAGTGGAGGGACTTCTTCTGGTATTATTATGCATATAAAAATTCTTATTTTGTGGTTTACTCTTGTTTTTTTTTGTTGTTTTTTTTTCTTTCGTTTTTATCCTGTTTGGACTTGCGCACGCGAGAGATGGAGCAGGGAGCAGGGAGCAGGGAGCGGGGGGCAGGGAGCAGGGAGCTGGGTGATAGTGATAGTGATATAGAGGGGTAGGTGGACACGATCCGACTTGAACTTGAACATGAACATGAATACATACACATATCATAAACAAATACACACAAAAGTAAAAACTAGGCTTAACAGTGTAAATATATATGTATATAAAAATAAAACAAAATTCAACAATAATTTAAAAGGTAATAAAAATCGTTCCAACAGTGTGCGTGTGTGTTATACAGATACTGAGCGAGTTACAGAGCGGAGCGGGCCTACTGCTCGCTACCCTAGGATTTGAGAGACAGAGACATATATATATATATATAGAGAGAGAGATAGAGAGAGACATGGGACATGGATGGGACATAGGAAAGATCAGAAGAAGACAGGAGACAGGTGACAGGTAAGAGAGTGGTGGGAGAGTGACCGCGCAAGTCAGACTACTGAGAGAGTGTGTGAGTGAGAGAGAGACGCACAGGCACAGGTCCTTCCGCACGTGGCTGCGGCTGTGGTTGTGGATGTCGAGCGTGTTTACATACCCACGGGCGCCAGCTGCACGTAGCGGTAGATGTAGAGGCGGTAGTCCTTGCTGGCCAGCACCACGCTGCCGTCGTCCATGAGCGCCACGTCAAAGCACTGGGCGTGCTTCACCTTCGACTCGAGGGCCGAGATCAGCTGGCCGTCCTGCGTGAAGATGGTCAGGTTGAAGTTGTTGTGGTTGTCCGCGATGAGGATCTCGCCGTTCGAGTTGATGCCCACGCCGATGGGGTAGTTGGTGATACCCTCGCCGCCAATCTGGCGCAGGTACTGGCCCTCGTAGTTGAACACCTTGACGCAGTGCGCCCGGTTGTCGCTGATGAAGATCTCCTGTTTGTCGTTCACCACGACGCCGTTGGGGAACTCCAGGTGCTTTGAGCACCCAAACTTGTGCAGCACGTTGCCGTTCTGATCGAAGATGATCACGCGCATCACCTTGCACTCCACTACTATGATCCGCCCCTTGTTGTCCACCGTAACGCCGCGCGGATGCTGCAGGATCGTAGCCCCGAACTTGCGCACGAATTGTCCGTACTGGTTGTAGATCTGGATCTGGTGCGTCGGCGACCGCTCCGTCACGATGATGTCGCCCGAGTTGCGGACGACGGCCACGCGGTTGGGATACAGCAGCTGCGAGTCCCGCTTGCCGCACTCCCCGAACTGGAACTTGAAGCGGCCCTCCTTGTCGAAGATCTGGATGCGGTGGTTGTTCGTGTCCGCCACAATGATGTCGTTCTGCGCGTTCACCGCCACGCCGCTCGGCTCCGTAAACTGGCCCTCCATCACCCCAAACTCTCCGAACTTGCAGTGGTAGATCATCTTCTGGCGCTTGATCTGCGACTTGGGCGGGTATATGGTGGCCGAGAGCAGCTTGTTGGTCAGGTCCAGCAGGGACTCTGAGCTCACGGCGCTGCCGCCTCCTACCACGCCCCCGTTGCCAGACGAGAGACTGGACAGCTGGCTGGCAAACGCGTCCACCACGGCAGAGCTGGCGCCGCTTCCACCCCCAACCGATGAGAAGAGGTTGTCGCTGCCCCCGTTGCTCCACTTCTCGTATGGATTGTAGTGGGCCACGGTGCCTGCTCCCGATCCAGAGCCGCTGCTGCCGCTGTAGCCGCCCCGCTTGGGCAGAAGCTCGCCAAAGTGCTGCTCCACGGCCAGGGCGCTGCGGTCGCGGCCGCTCAGCAGCAGGCTGCTGCCATTCGTGTACGCCCCCCCTCCGACGGAACTGCTCTCGAGCAGGCCACCGCTCAGGCCCAACCCCAGGCCATGGAGAGTGGATTGGGTCTGCAGCTGGTGCTGCTGCGCCTGGTGCAGCTGTTGATGGTGGTGATGCTGGTGGGCGCCCGACTGACCGCCCGAATGATGGTGGCTGTGGCTTCCAGCGCTACTGGCGCTGCTATTGCTGGCGCTCTGCGTGGGCCGAGCGATGGGCGGCTGCTTGCCGTGGCCGCTGCTGGTCTGGCTGAGGGCGCCATGGCCGCCATCAGAGCTGCTGGCCCGGATATAGCCAAAGGTGTTGCGTACTCCGGCCTGGATCGACTGGTAGTTGGACATAAACTCCATCTCGAAGGGCAGCTGCATGTCCTGGATGGCGGTCTGCAGCTGCTGCTCCAGGGACTTGCGCAGCAGAAGGGCCTCCGCCAACAAAGCGGAGGGCGGAGCGGGCGAGCGCTCCACCGCTTCGCATGTGGACAGGCCCTTGTCGATCAGATCCCGTGAGCGCTGCAGCCATGCGCTGTTGCTGTTTATCTTGGCCGAGTAGAGGGACTCGAGCTCCTTCAGCAGCTCCGTCTTGCGCTCGTCCAGCATGGAGGCGAAGAACTGGTGCGTCTCGTTCAACTCGTTGTGCGCCTTCTGGTACTGGAGCTTGACCTTGGTCAGATTCTGGTCGGAATTGCCGGCTATGCCCACGATCTCACCGATCTTTCCGCGCATGTCCGCCAGGAGGGTCTGCAGGGCCGTCTCGTTTGCCGCGGAAGCTGCAGTGGCAGCCGCCGTGGCCAGGGCTGGTGACTGGACGTTCTCCAGCTCGTGCAGGCCAGTCGAGTGCTCCAGCACGATGCACTCCTTGCACACCAGAATGCAGCAGGTGCGACAGCTGAACTTAAGCAGCTCCTGCTTGTGGCGTGGGCAAAAGAGTTGTCGCTGCTGGTGAACTGAGCTGTAGAGGCTCTCCTGTTGCTGTTGCTGGTGTTGATGCTGCTGCTGCTGCTGCTGCTCCTGGGAGCTGGCCTGGGCGGCGGCGGCAAGCACGATCTTCGAGAGCTGCGACATGGGCTGGGTGGGCAGAAGCTGCTGCTGTTGTTGCTGTTGTTGTTGCTGTTGTTGCTGTTGCTGCTGCTGCTGCTGGGTGTCAAGCTGCTGCTGCTGTTGCAGCATCATGGTCAGGGAGCTGGCGTACTTGAAGTCATTGGAGGCCGGGTTGTTGCTGGGCGGGCTCACCGCCAGCGGCAGGTTCGAGGCGGTCGCGTCGAACCCCTTGATGAGGCACACGTTGTGGCCGTTGAAGCAGTGCATGAACTCGTGGGCCGTCACGCAGTTGGCGCACAGGTAGCTCTGGCAGTCAAAGCATTTGGCCACCGCGTCGCTGCACTTGCTCTTGCAGGCGGTGCACCGGGGCGGGGAGCTGCCGTTGTTGTTGACGCTGCCGTTGCTGCTCCCGTTGGATGTGTTGGAGGAGGCGCTGCCAGTGCTGGAGCTCCCCTTGCCCGCGCCCACGACCAGGCTACTGATGCCCGAGGTGCTGCCGCTGGCGGAGCTTTGAAGATTGCTGCCAATGACGCCGGGTCCGTTCGAGGACACATTGCTGGCGCTGATGACGCTGCTGCTAGTGCTGCCGCACCCGCTCAGGCCGCTGGTCGATGAGCTGGATGAGGACGACGACGAGGAGCTCGACGAGGATGAGGACGAGCAGGAGGACGAGCTGGCCGAAGAGCTGGACGAGACGGAGGCCGATATAGGGTGGTGGCCATTGATGACGGTCACGTCCGATCGTGCCTTGACGCCGACACTGCTGCTGCCGACGCTGGTGTACTCGTCGCTGCAGATCGCCGAGTCGCTTGCCGGTGGCGATGAGCCGCTCAGGGTGAGCGGGGAGTCTGATAGGTAGCCGGCGTGCTCGTACGACTCAATCGAGTTCGCACCGCCCCGCATCGAGTCCAGAGATGGTGTCGGCGAGGACGCCATCTTTGTGTAATGGCCTGCGTTGGCTTCGTTGACCGTTAGGAGTAACAGCTGTGGCGAAGAGTGGAAGAGACAGAGAGAGAGAGAAATTGAGAACATGAATAAATAATTAATTGGACAACAGTCCCTGTCTAACCTGCCCACAGTCTAGACTCCAGACAGCGCCTCCCTGGGACTGATCCCACCTCCCTCCCTCTTCTCACACACCGAAGCGCAGAGTTGAGTGACCATGAGTCATCCCTTTCCCCCTGAATCCCCCCCGGACCCTCTTTGTCTCCATAATTTGACAGTAATTGTCTCCCCCCACGTAACTGTGGCATCTTCGAAAACAACCAAAAGGGTCCGTACCGTACCAGCCTCCCGACTCGCCAACTATCGCCCCCCACTCTGGTAACTGGAAACACGCCCCGCCAATTGGAAACACCATTAAAATTATTGAAGGAAGCAGACGGAAGCAAAGCGAAGCTGTACCCGGGATGAAAGCAGCCGCACTCATAGGGTTCCCCAGCCATCGACTCCCGCCACCTCCCCCCAACAACAAAATGCAATAAACGCACGCACAACCAGACAGCACCGCACCGCACCCCTCATTCACATTCAATTCACTCCCTTGGCGGTTCGCTCGTTGCCTTGGACAGAACTTTACAGGACCAAAACAGGACTGGGCAGAGAGCCACCCACCCCCTCGCCAAAGAGTAAACAAAAAGAAACTTCTCGGAGTTTCAGCTCCGAACTTCCGTCAACAAGGAAATCAACATAAGAGGCAATCGCGAAGGGGAGGGAAAGCAAAGAGAACGCAACGAAATCAACCCCGAAAAATGCGCGGGGGAGCGGAAGGTGAGCGAAAAGAATTCGGTTTGAGGGGGGTTGCTGACTGGGAGAGGCGAGAGGGCAGAGGAGCTGTGCAACTGTCTAGACTGGAGTACATTTATCATGCACACACACACACACATACACATACATCCGGCATACAACTCCAACTCACGCGAGAGAGGGACAGGGCGACGACTCACCTTTACTGTTTTGTTTTTGTATATCTTGTTGAAAATTCTATGTTCTAATATCCGCTTTCGTTCTTCCGTTGCTCAGCTTGTGGTTGTTGTTCTTCTGTTCTTCTCTCTAGTTGTTGCTCTCTGCAGTCACTAATCTGATTGCTCTCTGCTTGCTGTGGCTGTGGCTGTAGTTGTAGTTGTGGTTGTGTTGCTTTTGCTTTTGTTTTTGCTTTTGCTTGCGGGGACACGCTGAAACAGATTTGTGTAGCATACTTTTGGGTACTGTCAGTTAATGGCGGCGCGCGCACAAGATGCTGCAATGGAAAAACAAAATAATTGTAATTTAAAAATATTTATTTTCGTTAAAGGTTCATCTTAGTCACTATTATGATGCTTGGCTATTTGAACTAACTCAGGGGACTATGACGTGCGTGTCTGGGCTAGGGTACTGCCAGAGAATACATGTACTGTCCCCGCGCGACGTGACGCGAATGGCAGTTCAGTTCCCTGCAAAACTAACTTTGCGCATAATGCAGCGACCCGGGTAAAGCTCCCAAGCCGCAGCGGCAGCAGCAGCAGCTCAGTCGACTGCGACTGCGACTCAACTTCGATATCGCCGCCTGCAGAATGAGCGAGACCATGTCCTGTGCCTGGGGACCAGACAAAAATGCAGAAATGCAACTCTGCATTCCACCTGGCTGCCTACGTCAGAGCTCCGGTCCCGGTTTGCAAATTAACGGCAAAATGCCCACAATTACTGAGACAGAACAGGCGAAAAATCAATACACCACACACACAATGGTCTGCTATTCACATGCATACGCGGCAACAAGGTGCGAGAGAGCCAGCAAAGAGGAGAGCGACAGACCTGAGCGCGCGAGAGAATGAACTCTCGTGCCGAACTGTTGAATGCCGGTCCGGTCCAGGTCCAGAAAAAGCAGAGCACAGCACCATAGAAGCAGCTACAACATGAACAAACTGCATCCCCTGGCGCGCATAGTTGTTGCTGTTGTTGTTTAGCAACCCCTAAAACAATATGGCGGCTTCCAGACCAGACTAGACCACCCACCCGAAAAATTCTCGAAAAACCTCCCCCTCAAGAGCAACAATTTTCCATGGCAGAAATTTTGCGAGTGCTACAGGTTGCGTGCTCCGAGAGACAGCGCTAAAGAGAGAAGAGATAAGGCAGCAAAGAGAGAGAGCACGAGAGAGATAGCAAGCAGGAAGAGTTCTCAGAGCCCGCGTCGCTTTTCTGTCGCTGCCTGCGCATGTTTTTTTCCCAATTTGGGCAACGACCGCAATAAGCAAGCGAAAGCAATAGCAACAAAGCGTCTACAGCTCCCTTTCTCTCCCGCTCTGACTCACTAGATGTGGGCAGTGGGCTGTGGGTGGCTGGCGGCATGTCTGCTCTATGTTGCCGCAGAACTTTCGAGCAGCAGGAAGCGCTTATGCTGCCGTCGCCAGCAGTGCTGTTGCACGGCAGCATAACGGTGCAAATTTCTGTATGCCCTCCGATGGCGAGAAATAGCCAGACGACAGACACAAACGATTTATGTACATATGTACATATGTATGTATGTTACATGCACACATCAATGACCAAAGTAATAGGCCCACTACCAGAACCAGCCTAAAATCGTGCCTAATAGATTGTATTTCTTACAGATTTATGTAAATGTGGACTTTAAATGCATGAAAATCGAGATCCTCTAAGTATAGTTTGGTCTGGTCCAAATTGCCAACTGGCTGCAGAAGATTACATGGAAATAAATAGGGGTTTGGTCCTGGTTTTCTGGCTCTACCTATTTTGCGGCGCTGCCTGTTATTGCAAACTGAGGGAACCTCAGCTCTATCTCAAGTTCTGGTCACACCTGGAGCCTACACCAAGAAGTGACTCATAAATAAACTTTGGGCGCTGGTGATAATTTCAACAAATTAGTTAATATACACAAGAATAGCGCTAAAACGTCACCGGCATATCCAATAAAACCAAACGAAGGTAGGCGGGGGTACGGCGTTTGGTTCGGGTTGCTGGCCGAGGTTGATAGTAGGCGCGCATTGTCTATCGATTAGATTAGCACATTTCTGATTGGGGCACTGCCCATGCTCCGCTGCGAAGAGGGGCGCAGGCCAAACTGTCGAACTGTCAGTCCGATTGTATATCATGACAAGATAAATATCATTTCGGGCCATCAGAAGAAGCGCCCGGATCTCAATATCTCCGCCATATGTTTTCTCTGAAGTGGATCGCTGAGGCGAGTGTTAGTGGTGAGGAGGCGAAGAAGGGGAGGAGGGGGTACCAATGAAATGTACAAATTCCAGACGGCTTGTAAGTGTTTAAAAATAGAGAGAAGAGGAGCTAATAATCAGACGGTGCACTGCAATCTGCCTCTCCCTCCCCCGCCATTATCCCATGATAAAGAAAGAAGAAAGAGAGAACTGGGAAGTGGGAAGTGGAACAAACGGCGCAGCAAAACAATTTTACACGATTATGAATTTCATGGCTCAGGAGAGTGGCTGTTGCCAGCAGCGAGGGCCCTCCTGTTGGACACGTCGATGGAGATCGTTATGTTCCCGACGGAAGTAGGGGGGGCCCAGAGAAAGAGACAGAGAGACAAGTTCAAGCCATAGGACGCCGAGGGAGGAGGGGGGAAAGTGAGCAGTTCTGGTTCTGCAGAACTCCTCTCCCCCACAAACAAACTCAAAATAAACAAAGCTCTGTTCCACTTCCATTCATTCCCCGCTGCCTTTTGGGGTTGCGACGGAAACTGCGACTGCAGCAGAGTTCAATGGTACCGCGTGCCCAACAACAAGAACAACAGCACCAAAGAGCATGTCACACACATACATACATACATACAAGTGCAAAGATACAACTATACTCAGGCACGGAGCGAGGAAGAATGAGCAGGCCATAAAACAGAACAAAGCAAACTAAATTTACCTGATGCACACACACACACACACACACACAACAAATAAATACACACACAGGAGCAGCACTTCTTCTAGAAGATAAAATATTCGTCCCAATCGCAGTCCCGATCCAATCCAATCCCCAGGTTGGGACAAAGGCACCGCCACAGCACGACCCGCCGCTGCTCGATGCAAATTTTGTATGTATGTTCCCCAGAATTTCGCGACGTTCCGCCCCACCCTCTACCGTACCAAATGACAGGCGGGGGACTATGCGTCAGCTCTGCCCAAGCTGCTGCTGAATGAAATTTTATTGAACAAGACAATGGCGAAAAAAAATCTGCGACGCCAGCCACAAGGGAGTTTTATTGTAGCCAAGAGAGTGAAAGAGAGACGCAGACAGCAGCATCCAATTTAGCAGACAGCCTCCCGATCCCGACGCTAGCTCTCCCACGACTAGCGCCTGCTCTTTCCCACTGCTGCGGCAGCCCGGCAGGTCAACGGCGTCGCTGCAGTTCTTGTTGTTCCTCCTCCTCTTCCTACTGCTCTTTCTGCACAACAGTTTTCTTTCTTACTGCGCTTTGTAGTGTCTGTGGTTCGTGTTCTCCCGCTCCCTCGCCGGCCCTTCCCTGCTGTTGACAGGCCATTAGCCTGAGCGAGACAGGGACAGATGAAGTGTGTGACTGTGGCTGTGTGTGTGTCCTGGCCACAGAGGAGCAGAGTATAATATTGGGACTGGAAGTACAGTGCCGGATCGCAGCATAGATGCAGCAGCACAAACAAATTGGCGTTATCTATTGACTGCATCCAATCAAACGGAACGTGTTCTGCCGCCTCGTTCCTCGTGTTAACCACCGATAAATATTTGCTATCTGCTTTAACATTTTCAATTAGAGTTGTACCATTTTCGATTTCGGTTATTTTCGCCCCGACCAAGTGTGTTTGTGTTCCATCTGGCGTTATCTATTACGTGGTGCAGCAAACGCGACTCTACACTGCGTGACAATGGAAGCACACACAAAACAAGAAATTGGTTCAGAAAAACGACCCCGACCATGCGACCCACTTCTGGAGCGAACAGGAAATGCATTGCAGCCAAGACGCTGAACCCCGACATATGTGCAATATCCACCCATCGTACCCATCGTACTAGCCAATAGATTCCAGATCGTGGGCCCAAGCGGTCCCCTAGAGCTATAGAGCTAGAGCTAGAGCCCCATCGGGGGCGACAGCTTTCAATCAGTCAAAGCCAAATCGAGCGTGAAACAAGACACATGGAGCCACATCCAATGTTTTTTTTTCCATTCCGTGTGTTTATGTTCAACGTTCGAGTAGAGGCAAATTTTAAACACGTTTTAGGTTTTGTATTTTAATGAGGAGAGCCCCCGAGCGTCGCTGGCACGTCGATCAGTCGGACCGGACCGTCTGGCTGCTCGTCAACAGTGATTAACTTTAAAGAACATTGCCGTAATATTTTCTGTTTAAAATACACACAGAAACAAGAAATAAACCCGTGTTTTGTTCTTCCGCATCGCACAGACCCAGCAAAAACAACAATAACAGCTTTAACAGTCGAGTGTCTGAGGATTGTTTATACAGTTGTGTCGCAATAAATAGGATCGCCCTGGGGGAACCGGAGGAGGGGTAAAGGTAGCCCCACGAAGGTAAGCGTTGTGTTGCACCACCACCACACCACCCCCACAGATAATGATTCTTTGTCCTTTGCACTCACTGGTGGGAGAGGGAGTGGGACCGGGCACATCCGATGCCGGACGCGACACGAAGGGCGGGCGTTTAACGAAACAAGAAATGAGATAATAATAACAAAAAGCGCACAAACGCAGTGCTGCCTTCAACAACAACACAACGAAGAACAAACACAAAGCAGAGAGCGGAAAATACACGCGGGGGTCCAAAGGGGGCAGAAGGCGGGGCTATGGAGCAACAATGCAAGTGATGCGCCGCAAGATACACTCGTAGACAAATGGATGGCAGAAGGCGAGAAGGAAAAAAGGCAGCACACACACAATCACCGTCACAGAACACAGATACACTCGCACACAGATGCAACCACGAATGCTTGCTTGCTGCCGCCGATTCTAAACAAGTTGATGAACTCTGCTCGCCAGCTACGGCGTCAGCGTCAGCGTCGGCATCAGCGTCACAGAGAGGAAGAGAACCACAGTTCAGTTTTATTTTTCACAAGTACATGGGCATATGTATCTGTACATATGTGGCTGAGGTTTTTGCAGTTGTGAGTTGCACTTATATTTATTTTATTGCTTATTCCACTATTTTTAATACTTTTTAATGCTTTTCCGCAGAACCAACTGCACACGCACACACACAGACACTCACGGGTAGACGGTGAGAAAACAACGTCGCGACGGGGCTGCTGGCTTGTTGGTACGACGCGAGCGCACACGTTGCTTTTCAGTTTTTTCGCTCAAATATAACAAAATACCTAAATGCTAACTGAATTCCGTTGCTTTTCCGGCGAGTGCTAAGAACGGAATGAGAATGGACAGCCATAGCAAAGAATAATTTTACAAGATACAAGATACAGCAGAGGCAGCGGCAGCGGCAGCAGCAGCGACTGCGTGGAACGCGGAACAGAGCGACGTCGAAACGGAATGGAACGACGCGACCAAAAAACTCACTCAACCAGTTATCGCTGAGACAAAGAACGAGTGCGAGAGAGAGGCATGGCAGGCAAAATCTAGTTTCACAGTGGAATGGAGTGGCACTCGGAACATGATGTATGTATTTACATCTGTATGTATGTATGTATAGATAGCTAGGCAGCGTTGGAATCGTTGGCAGCGCAGCCGGCGATGAGACTGACCTCTGACAACCTCCTACACAGACACGCACACTAGTGTAAGGAGAGCGTACCAGCGCCAGAACATAAATTGCGCGAGGGAGCAGTGCACTCCAGAGCAATGCAAGTGAGAGAGGAGTAAACGAGAGAGTGTGTGTGTGTGTGTATGTGGGAACAGTGGGAGCAAAGGGAAGAAATTTCAGTGGGCACGGGAAACTTCTTGGGCACAAATGCAAAGTTTTCCAAGAATGAGTCAAAGCTTAAAATTAATTTTTATTTATTCATATGTATATGTATTATATAACATCATTTATTTCTGTATTGTCCATACAATTTGCATAAACAGGAATTGAGTTGCAGGTACAATACAAAGCAACAACAAAACCAGCCGAGCTGAACTGTTATTTCTTGTTCTCTTTTGGTCTTTCTCTTCGACTGGAGAAAGGAAGAACAGTCGAGAACTGAAACACACACTCACACACACTTACAATACACTTACTCTTTATGATCATAAACGACTAGTTTACACGCTGTAACTTTAGACTTTAGTGCTGATGCAATAGGAGGAAGCGGGACCCAACGAGAGAGCGAGAGAGAGAGAGGGGGAAAGAAGAGAATGTAAAAGTCTGCGCGCTTGCGTCATGTGCGTTTTGGTGTTCAAAGCGGAGCTTAAGAATAACGTGAATAGCCACTGCCGCTGCCGCAGTCAAAGCCAACGCCGGACACGCCGCGTATCATAAACCAGTCTAAAAACGCGCACGCCGCCTGGCTGTATAATTATGCTGCTCTTTCAACGTACATATGTATGTAAGTATGTGTGTACATATGTATACATGTATGTACACCGATAGGTTTTGAGTATGTTCAAGTGTGTGAGTGTGTGGTTGGCAGCTACAAAGGGCCTTAAACTCTGCTTAAAGTCAAGGTCAGTGATTTCTTATTCTCTCTTTGGACAGCATTGCCAATTTCGATTGGTTGCCGTGATTGGCAGCAGGCAGCGGAAGCAGAGGAGAAACGCGTCTGGTATGGCTCCACATCCCCGCTGCTCCTCACTACTTCTTCCCCATCAAGCCACAGGCCAGGCCAGGGCAGATTCCAAGAATTTCCAGAAGTTCAAGTGGTGGCTGCACAGGAAACAAGTGGAATATGGCACAGGGAGAAGAGATGCCTTGTCTCTGCCTGCTCCACTCTACTCCGTTCCATTTGTAGCCCCTGTGATCGATGTACCCTTGGCCCCCACCGAGTTAGCACGAGCAAGAGACAGAGACAGCGCTCGACGAGTCTTGTCCTTGCCAGCGGTTCATGAACCTCCTGTCCATGACGGACGGCGACGTGGTTAAAGTAGCAAAAAGATACCGATACGGCGGCAAAAAAGTCAGCGTCATGCCAACAAAAAATTACGCCAACCGCTCAATACACATATGTATGTACATATGTACACTGCTGAGAGAGCGAGAGAGTATCTGGTAAGGGGGGATGCTCGTCTAGGCCAGGGCACAACACAGCATTAATTTCCCCGACCTCAACCTCAACTATTTTTATTGCCATATTGACAGACAATTCAATCGAACCCGTTTCAATAGCCCCGCTCCCCCGGCCTAGACACTGTCGTCCCCTACCACACACCAAGCTAATTCAAGTAACGGCACGAGGGGAAGAGGAAGGGGGACGGCTCGATCCCTTTTAGCAGCTGTCGCCGATCTACCCCTGCGCTTCCACAGCCACGCCACTGCCACCAGATGTTTCCCTTGGACGAACGATGATCGGAGGGCAAACCCAACCCCAACCCATAAACCATCCAACAACAGCAACAATGCACACGTATTTGTTATGGCTCTTTCAATAATTTTTGGGAAAGACGATGGAAAAAATGTGACACTTGAAACCGGAAATTAGCAGCGGCAGCTGTCGCTGTCGCTTTCCCACTCGTTGCGTCTGCTCCTTTATTTTATCCGCGCTCTTAGCCAGGTGGGAAAGAGTATGCTTATGCACTTAAGAGACCACAAAGAGAGAACTAACACAGAGTGCAGCTTCTCTCTAGGACACAAGGCTGACCGAATGGGTAATGCCCTGCCTGCTTCTACACAAGTATCAACAGGAGGAACATTTTTAAGATCTTGCATCACTGACAAACAAATCTGCGCATTAGTCCACCACGAGTATAAACAGTTAGCTACACGTTTGGTTCCGGAACACGAGCGATTTGAGCCTTGAGTAATAATGGAGCAATGGAGACAGTATCAACGAGAACAAAAAGTTCCTCCATCAGCTTTTCTTACGCTGTTGAATTGCTCAATTTGGGTTGGCAACAGCAACACCACACAAATACGTAGAAGAAAACGAAGAGGAAAAAAAAGAACAAGGTATAATGGAGAGAGGGGGGTTATTATGTTTTTGGTGGCATAAGGCAATGTAACTCTAGCCCCGTGGCCCGCATATGTATGGTAGTTCGTAGATCCGAGAGACGATCCAGGCCCATGCCCAGGTCCGAGGTCGGGCAATACTGACCGTTCTCGTCTTTCAACGCCCACCATATCCCCTTACATTACCGCTAATAAGGGCTCTTTATTGAACTCTTCTCTCACTCGCTCTCCTCTTGATTGTTGTACCCCCCTGCTGAGACAATGTGTCTCTCCGCACTGACCTCATAATTCGCATTAAGCCACATAATAAGCGAGGAAGATCATCATATTCCTCCGAACCCCTGCCCCGCCCTAAATTGCACTGGGTTCGGCCATCCATGAGCAGGAAATTTCAATCAACCCGTTGAAATTCGAACTTCTGCGGGCCACGACTCGAGCTTTTTTATATACCCTTGCAGAGGCGCTTATATTCTTTTAGTGAGACATTGCGACGATCAGAAGGAATCGTATGCAACGCAGTGTGGTATAAAGTTTTGTTTATGCAACTAGTTTAAGAACTATCTGTAGGAAGATAAAACAATATGTCGATGACGGTCTTTGTTTTAATTAGAAACAATAAAAATGTTTAGGTATTGGTTAATGGAAATAATATCTACTAGATTCTTCTTCTTTCTACTGCCTAACGCTTTGCAGCTCCATTTGTGGAGGGACAGATTATGTCTGGCCTCAAGGGTATTGTTGCTTCGGTGCTAATAAATTAATTTCCATTCATTTTTCTGCTGCTGCTTTTTCTGTGTTCCCCTTTAGTTTTTTTCGAGTTCTCAGAAGGCTCGCGGTTTGGTCAAAATGTTGCGAAAACGATGCGAGGGGGAAGGGCTTTAGCTGGAATCGGACAAAGGCAAACCGGTGAGAGCACAGGGGCGAGAGGTAGCGAGAAACAGCGCTTAAATGACATTAGTTTGGACACAATAAATAAAACGTTAACAGCGCTAGAAAAACAAAGACAACAACATCAGCAACAGCAACAGAAACAGAAACCCCAAAAGTCAACGAACGGCTAAAAAATTCACGAACTTGAAAAAAAAGTGTGTAGCCAACGTTGACGCAAGCAGCGACAGAGGCAGAGGCGATGTCAATAAACCAACTATCCGACGACCTGCGTCGTTGCGGCTGAGTTGCTTAGACGCGGTCCATGAATATAGCCACAGAAGCAAAAGCAGCAAAAAAGAATAGACAAGAATAAACTTGTTGCTCAGGCAAACAGCAACAAATCGCTTGATAAATGTCCTGTGGCGGCAGCATACAAACGTACATAAATATGTACATAAATACACACATACCTACATATGTCTGTACATGTGTATGGCAAAAGCTCAGCGCGGAAGTTGAAGAGCAACAACCACGAGAATATTAAGAACGCATCGATGCCGTCAGCACATGTTTCGCATGCTTTATGGGCTCCTCCTACTCCTACTTCTACTGATACTCCATCTATCTCTCTCGCACCCATTACACACATCGCATACTACTTCTCCTTCTCCCCAGACAGAACCGAACATACATACATATGTATGTACGTACGCACGTGCGATATATATGATTAATGCTCTCGTCCTACTGATGCTCTGGCAGAGGGTATGAGCAGTGGGTGGACAGTTGGGATGGGTCACTCCAGAGAATTAGAACAATAAAATTTAAAAAAAGTTATATATTTTAGATTCTATAAAAATCTAAATCTGATCGAAGAGTAAATGTACAGATCGCATAGATCGATCCTGAGCAGGGTATTTGCGGGATGCGGCTGGACCCATGCTGACAGCGTGATTCATGCTTGTCTTCATTTGGTTATCTTCCGCCCTCATGACAGCGGCAGGTATTGGGTTTCTAGTACGAAGGATAAACATGGAAATGGGCCTAACGGGGCCCCTTGCCCTTGCCTGATAGATTTATTGTCGATGCGAAAATAAAAAGCTCTTAAGTACTCGTATTATTCTCTCCTTGAGTATCCCTCTCTTTTTCTCTTAGAAAACAACAATGTTATTTATGCAGCACAGGAGAGAATGGAGCCCCCAGAAAGTGGGGGGAGAGACGGGTAGTTTGAAGAACTTTGTCACTGCCTTGTGTTGGGGAGGGGGTGCTCTCGTGTGTGGTGTGTAGGCGAGTCTCATGTAATTGATGAACGCTCTTATTTATTGCAGGCTTTAACTGTCACTTTTTGGGACATTTTCCCAGGGAAGTCCTTGCCGGTGAGGGTTCTCGTACCTGAGATGCTCGATGCTCATGTTCGATTCCTCCATGGTTCAATGCCACAGTTGTTCCATTTACCATTTCGTTCCTCTTGCCAATTCACCTTCGCCCACAGTTGCGCGATCTTCACACGCGCGGACTGGGCGTGAGGGGGCGGGAGAGTGGAGGAAGGGGGGTTAGCTAAGCGTCTGTTCTTTTGTTTCAAACTCGTTTGTTGGCTCTACCTAGGCAGAGGCTGTGGTAGAAGCAGAGGCAGCAGCAGAGGCTGGACTGGAGGCATTTCAACTTTCAAAAAAAAAAAAAAAAACAAATTCAGCGCCAGGTTGTACTACGTTAATACATATATATATATATATATATATATACATATGTACATATGTATGCATGTACACTTGAACCCCGTGACTACAGAGTCTCTTTGTGATGCCTTTTTGGTCGTCTTGGCCAAATTCGCTTTGTTTTGCCTGCTTTATTGTTATCTCTCGTTCTTTGCTTATTTGCTTCTGAAAACTTTTCTTTCTCCCCGCTCTGCCTCAGAGTTCTGTTGCCCCCTGCCCACATTTCGCCAACCAACGAAGCAGCTGTCATTAGGTCTGCGTTCCATTCCCCAGTTCCCCACAGCCACTTCCCCACAACCACTTCTAATGTCTTTGTTGCCTTGCCTTCCTCTTGTGGCGTTCTTTCACCTTTGCGACGGGGTCTTTTTTGTGACTGTGGAAATTTTTGTGGTACGAGCATTTTGGCAGAAGGTCAACGTTCATAATTGTCTGTATTCTGTGGCACTCTTTAAGCCAACGAAGCGGGGCAACGCGGGCTCCTTCTCTC